CATTTGCCCATGGTTATAAATACAAGTGTTTTCACAAATGTATGACTTGCAAATATGTTCTCTATGTCTATAGCTTGTATGTTGATCCTTAAACATGATCTTTTGTAGAACAAAATTTTTAAAAATTAATCCCAATTTATCACATTTTTTTCTTTTATGTGTGTGCTTTTGGTTTTATGTCTAAGACTCTTTACCTAGTTGTAGTTCCCTCAAAGCCCTAGTTTTTTCTCTTAAGTTTTATTTTAAAAGATATATTTATATTTTTACATTTTAATCTATAATTCAGTCTGAATTATTTTTTTGTATAGGGGGTAAGGTTCAGTTACTGGTTCATACTTTTGCTTATCGATGTCCAATTGCTCTAACACTTCATTATATGGACTATACTTTCTCCATTGAATTGCTTTTTTTCCTCTTGTCAAACATCAGTTGTCAATACTTGAATGGGCCTATTTCTGGATTCTCTATTTAGTTCCATTGATCTGTATATTAATTCCTCCACCAACACCAGGTACTCATGATTAGTGTATAATAATTCTTGCAATTGGGTAGACTAGTTTCTCTCATTTTGTTCTTTTTGAATTGTATTAGCTATTTTTTGTTTTTCCACATATATTGCTTATATATTCTTTAAAACTTGTTCAATTCCTAAAGAATTTGAGCCTTTATGTTCAAGGTTATTGCTAAAATTGGAGTGGTAGGTTGAAGAAAGTCTGAAAATGGAATTTATGCCTATGGAATTAAGTTACTTCACAGAATTTTTCAAGTATTTTTTTTGTCAAAAGATTTGTAACTGGATTACAAATTCTTCCTTGTATATAGTTGTCTGCAGTGAACATAAGTTATCTTATTTTCATGGCGTTCAATCTCATGAATGATACTAAAAACTGGTTATCTACCTACTGATCTACTCACACCTAAAAGGTGCTCAGATAGCTGTTATCAATATACAAGAGTCCACTGCTTGTTTGGAAGGTCATATTTTGTTTTGGGTTTAGCGTTCTTAAGAGAGATCATGTGAATAAGAAGTGAAATATAGAGTGCTCATTTGCATGGTAGGTGAACTAGTGAGTGAGCATATGTACTTTTAATGTCAGGAACTCAGTAACCAATTTCTTTCCTTAACTGTGAAATTAAATCCTGACTAAGAATCTAAGTCTCGTTTGAATCAATTATGTGTGAAATTCTAAATATAGGTGTCATTATCTCTTGTTTTCCCATTCTTTAAGCAATCTGAAAATGGCCTACTTATTATTATAAAAAATGCATTAAGCAAACTGAAGGAGAAGTCCATTTGATAGAGTATCATTCTCATTTACTTTTGTTTCCTTAAGTAGGTACCAGGTTATTTCTGTACTTTTGAACGTGTGTCATACAGTCATCACTCAAATATTTATTTAATTAGTGTCTAGTAATATAAAGTGTTTTTTTTAAATTTACAACTATTATACTAACGATTCCACTCTTTAATTTACTTGCTTTAGCACGTACTGTGGATAGACAGATGAGGTGTGAAGTTGCTATTGTGGAGCTCATGTTTGCTCTAACAGAATGGTACCATTGTATGGTGTACTGTATCCTCCTTACCCATCATAGAGTGTGCTTTTTATGTATGCTAAGGTGTGCTAAGTGTTCTTTGTATGGCACTCAAAATACCCATCATATGGCATGCTAGGTAACCATTGAATAGTGTGCTAAGTGTCCAGACTCTACTGTGGTATGCCACCATGCAGCATGCAAAATACCTAGTCTATGGTGTCCTGAGTTCTCTGTATGCTGTGCTCAGTGCCCATTATATGACATGCTAAGTATCAAACATAAACTATACAGGTGCTAAATTTATAAACAAAATACTAGCAAATCAAATACAACAATACGTTACAAAGATAATGCATCACCATCCAGTGGGGTTTGTTTTAGAGCCGCAAGGATGGTTCAATGTATGTAAATCAAGCAATGTAATACACTAATCTATAATAATAAAAGCATAATATGCTAATTAGACCGGACAGCCAAACGACCTTACGGACGAAGCCGGGGCTGTATGGGGCAAAGCAGCCACCGCAGCTGCGAGGGCTGAGCAGCCCCTGCACGAATTTCGTGCATCAGGTCTCTAGTTTAAAATAATAAAGGATGAAAATCTTTTTTTTTTTTTTAAATATATTTTATTGATTTTCCACAGAGAGGAAGGGAGAGAGATAGAGAGTTAGAAACATCGATGAGAGAGAAACATCGATCAGCTGCCTCCTGCACATCTCCCACTGGGGATGTGCCCACAACCCAGGTACATGCCCTTGACTGGAATCGAACCTGGGACCCTTGAGTCCGCAGGCCGATGCTCTATCCACTGAGCCAAACCGGTTTTGGCAAAGGATGAAAATCTTATGATCACATCAATAGATGCACAAAAAGAATTGACTTATTTTCATAATTTTCTATTCCTTTTCTATATTTGGGTGGGCAAAAGTAGGTTTATAGTTTATTCTTATATTATTATTTCTTAATTATTGTATTATTTTCCAAAAGAACAATTGTAACTCTACTTTTTGCCCACTCATTTAAACCTTGTAGGATTTTTTTGTCTCTCATTTCTTACATTACTTTCTGCTTTTGTGTTTAGTTTATATTCTGTAGTGAAACATTTATATGTTTTTCTTCATAGCATTTATGGGTATTCTCTAGCTGTTTTATTTATGATTAGCATGGGGATCACATTTAACATTCTATAGTTATGACACTCTAATTTGAATTTATACTAACTTAAGTAACAAACAAAAAATCTGCTTCTTTATACCTCTGCCTCTTCTACTTTTGGTTATTGATATCACAGAATTATATCTTTGCATATATAATGCCCCAGACATAAACTAATAATTATTTTAAATGCATTAGCCTCTTAAATTAGGCAAAAAACAAAATGAGGAGTTATAGACCAAACTTACAATAATACTAGCTTTTAAACAAATAATATTTAAAAATGTATTAGTCTCTTAAATAATGTAAACAACAAAAAATGGAGTTATAAGCTGTAGTTGCAATAATACAAACTTTTATAATTGCCCATGTATTTATCTGTCTTGAGAATTTTATTTTTGTATAACTTCAAGTTACTGTCTAACGTTCTTTCATTTTACTTTGCAGAACTCTTTTGATCATTTTGTTCTGGGCAAATCTAGGAGTAACAAACTCCCTTAACTTTTGCTTTCATCTGAATGCCTTAATTTTCCCCATCACTTAATTGATACATATTTCTGAATTCCTTTTGTTTTTAATTTAAATTCTTTATTGTTTAAAGTATTACATAAGTCTCCTTCCCCCCGCCCGCCCCCCCCCCCCCAATGAATTCTGAACTCTTAAACTTATCCATTAAAAACAACCTTAATCTTCCTGGCCAGTTTGGCTCAGTGGATAGAGCATCAGCCTGCAGACTCAAGGGTCCCAGGTTCGATTCTGGTCAAGGGCATGTACCTTGGTTGAGGGCACATCCCCAGTAGGGAGTGTGCAGGAGGCAGCTGATCGATGTTTCTCTCTCATCGATGTTTCTAACTCTCTGTCCCTCTGTAAAAAATCAGTAAAATACATTAAAAAAAAACACCAACTTTAATCACATGGAGGGGTCCCAAGGCCGCAATCGCAGTGCTGGCCAGGCTGTGTTCTCCTACGGAGCTCGGGGTCTCTCTCTGGGTTCACTTAAGCCATTGGCGGAATCTGGTTGTTTGAAGCGCTGATTCCCCCATTTCATGTTGTATTCCAGCCACTGGTTGCTCTGATCTCCTAGCAGCGCTTTCTAAAGGACCTGTGTGTGTGGCCATCTCCCAACAAAGCAGCTTCTTCAAATCCAGCAGGACCACCTGTCTCAGTTGGAATCTCCGTTCCCTTCTAAGACCATGACCATGTCTGACTACTCAAGAGAATCGCCCTCAAGTTGGTTTACCCAACATTAACTGATTAGGGAGGTTACAGCTGCAAAATCCCTTCACCTTCGTCATTTAAGGGACCTTACCCTAGTCACAAGCTCAGCCCACAGTCACTGAAGGGGATAATATAGAGTGTCCACCAGGGGTCAGGAATCTCAGAGCCATTCCTGAATTAGTTTACCACCGCCCAGAAGCTGGTGGTCTAGTTTCGGGTTCCCAACTTGGCTAAGGTTCACATTTTCTGGGGAGCTTATTAAAAGGCCATATTGATGGGCCTCTGAATAAATCTGAATCAGAGTCAGAAATGAGTCTTTGTTGAGTTACACAGGCTCCTCCCTCCTATGCAGCCCGCTGTGTACCTCTGGAAATTCACTGGGTAACCACTGTTCTCTTACATATGATCTCTCACTTGGTTATTATTTTATTACAGTATTAGAGTAGTTTCAAGACTGCAATTGAGTTTATAACACAGATTATAGAACTGTGATCATTAAACATTAAGTGGTAAAGGCAGAAATATTATTCTAACCTTTGGAAATAGCAATCTGTTGCTCAAACCTTGATTTATAGAGGTCAACCCCTCTCCCGCAGCATAAAACTGAGTTAATAGCTATGTCTCATTAAAAATAGTAATCACTTTTTGGCATCAAACACGAGGTGATTCCTCACAAGGCAGGCTTTTAAATATTATTGATAATTTAAACTTGGCATTATTCTAAAGGCTGAAGTATTGGCATTTTAGACCTGAATGCAACTACTGGCACATACAATTTTGGGCAAATTATCTAATATCCTTTTGGACTTTTTTTTTTAAAGCCAATTTTCCCAAACTGTGTTCTGCAGAAATTAGTTTTATGACATTAGCCATTTAGGGAATACTTATATTATTTCATCCTCTTGATGATCCACAAGGTTTTGAGTTACTCCTAGAAATTGACAAGAAATGTGGTAAAATTGTATGCGATATAAGTGTAAATGGGATGTGTGTCTCCTTATGGATGAAATGGGTGCATTTCAGTGTATAGATTGTATTGCATCTATTTGGAATGTTTGCAAGACTTTTTATTTTTGCTTTCTGTATCTAGACGATTCTCCAGAATGTTGTGATTGCCAGAGGAGTGACTTCTGATAAAAGAAAAATACTGCTCTACCTACACTCAAGTAAGATCATTATTTTTCAATATGCCTTTGTAAATTAATGGAAAAATACCTCTTTCTCTACATTTTAATAAGCAAGTAATTTTCTTCAATAGTAAGCTTTATGAAGCCTCCTTATCTCTTCTAGAACAATATGAAACAAAAAAAAATCTGGTGTGAGGAGGGTAGCAATATTTCAAATGCATGCCAATGTTTATTATTTAGACTGTATTTAGATATATCTTTCTACCATATTTATTTAAACAACTGTATTAAATTTTTTGTACTTTAATGAGCATCACTCAGAGGAATGAAAATTAATCAATTTTCAAAAGCTGGCTTTATGATAAGGGTTCCATGAGTGAGTGCTGAACTACTGGAGAAAGGGTAGATAGGTAATAATGGAAAGGGGGGCCTTGGCAAAATATTTCTTTTTTAAAAAAAAATATGTTTTTATTGATTTCAGAGAGGAAGGGAGAGGGAGACAGAGAAACATCAATGATGAGAGAGAATCATTGATTGGCTGCTTCCTGTATGCTCCCTACTGGGGATCCCAGGACCCTTCAGTCCACAGGCCGAGGCTCTATCCTCCGAGCCAAACCAGCTAGGGTGGCAAAGTGTTTCTTAAAATGCTTTACAACAATAGAGCCTAGGGGACTATCACATCCTCTTTTGTTTATTCAGAACAAAGGATGAAAGTGTGAAATTATAAAAGAAATTCAATATTACTGCAGAAAATGAGCATGAGTCAGTATAGTCAAATCAGTTAGAAGATGAACATCGTCTGTGACATTGGTGCTAAGATGAGTGTGCCTTTTGGAAGGATTCAAACTGTATTTGCTCTACAGACCAGAACCTGGCTGCCAAAGTTTTGGCTTAAAATCACTTTATCTACTTTTCTAATAAATTGTTGCAGTATTTCTCAGTTTTTATTTTCTGGCAGAACAGAGATTTCCAAAGTGGTTTTAGTGAGAATCATGAAACTCATTACCATCTATTATGTTTAAATGAATGCTAACACTTAAAAGTGTATTATGTACCTATTGTTTTATTAAATCATATTTCAATGTGATACAAAAATGACGAGAATTCTTCAGAATGTTTATCTGTGTGTTGTAAAAATCAGAATTGTAAGACTCGATGCGTCCTTGCAGAAAGTTTGTGATTGGATTTCCTTGACTGGCTTCTCAAAGATTATGGCAAAGATGATGACACTTAAGATTACAAACACTTAGGTCTACATTTGTTCTTATTACTAGATATTATTAGGCTCTGGAAGCCATATGGTGTTACATGTGTCATAATCATACCCAGATAGTGATGGGTTGCTAATAAATTTATTGTTCTTTCCTCAACAAATTGTGATTCCTACCCACCTGAATCCAGGTACATTTCCCCTCATCATTAAATTAAACACTGTTTTCTCATTATTTGCATAAACAGAAAATGTTAATGCATAGTTTTCTAGGAAGCAGCAAGAACACATTCTAATACACCAAAAATTACTGGATTATAGCCAATGTTTTAGAATAATTTTTCATAACGAAACCTTTATATAGCTATAGCTTTCCTTCCATTAAAATGCCATAGAGAAGCTTGATAGATAATAGAGAGAGGAAAATAACCTATTTTTTAAGATAGAAACAGGGGTGAGTGCTCAAGAATGCCCTATTCTCTCTACCATTGCCTTTCCTTGCCTCTGCATCTATTCCTCATTCCCCCAACCATTTGAACTTGATGGATATTTCTGTTTCCTGAAACCCTGTGGTTCCTTGGTTTCTCAGCCTTTCATTTTGAAGCCCATAAGAAGGAATTAACTAAACAGAGACAGAGAGCAAGCTATGTAGTGGAAACTACCCAGATTATGCTGTGCTAGCCATAAGTGGCAACGTTATTGCTCTGCAAGAGATGGTCATTTATTACTTACTTAGACTTTCCCAGTATCGCATGCTGCTCTGTATGCTTTCCCTTCATCATTGTGTTCATTATCCTATACTGTAAACCTTGACAGAGTTCCAAGAAAGGTAACATATAAATGAAGAAAGAGAGAAATACATTTGTAAGGAGAGTAATGACAATTCATCTGAGAGTGACTGTCGCCATCCTCAAAGTACCTTCTTCTACAATCACAAAAAATATTTTTTATTGAAATATATCTGGATGCATTTCAAACATGTCAAACAAATGATACAGGTATATATCATTTCCTCCCATGTTTTTGTTTTTTTTAAAGAATTCAACATACTTTATGGAGAAGCAAGAAATTTGAATTGATATTCTTTTGAGAGAAGATGAAGAGGAGGAATAGTAAACAGTCTTAAAACACATTGCCTACTATTTTCTGATTCTTTGAAATAAGAAATATTTTGAAACTATATGCCTTAGCATGCACTGTTAGTGGGTTTTTATAGTCTCTCTCCTGACCTGTAGAATTTTACTTATGCCTCCCCCATGGTTTATTCATGATCACATTTGACTACATTTAAAGCTAGGTTGGCTTCATATTTTTAAAATATATTTTATTGATTTTTTACAGAGAGGAAGGGAGAGGGACAGAGAGTTAGAAACATCGATGAGAGAGAAACATAGGATGTGCCCGCAACTAAGGTACATGCCCTTGACCGGAATCAAACCTGGGACCCTTCAGTCTGCAGGCCGACACTCTATCCACTGAGCCAAACCGGTTAGGGCTGGCTTCATATTTTAATGGAAAATTTCCCATGAGCAAGAGCGAACTGGGTCTATTGTGTGAGCAGATGTCCTAGCTGGATTGCTTGCCACTGCTTTGTGCTTGCTGACCTCCATGCTTGGCTAGAGGACAGCTCTGTCTTCCTGGGCATCTTTTTATTGCCAGAACAAAATCACTGTAATATAAATACTTGATCATTGAACAGGTAAATTTAATGCTGTTGCTGCTTTTCTGTGCTTTGAGGAGGTTTGAGGCATCCGACCTTGCGCTTTGATGAGTCTTTTCATGGTCTGTCCCCTCTTTGTGTTACACATTGCACCTATCCACAGGATGCAGCTTCTGTTGGCCCATTTGCCTTCAAAATTGTTAATCAAATTCTCAGTATTTTCAGGCATGTTTGAGATGGTAGAGCCACTGGCTGCGTTGGTAAAACAGTGTGTCCAGAGTGTGGAGTAGGTAAAAACTGTGCTTGCCTCCTTCCCAGAACATAGACAGCAAAATTACACCTAAACTACACAATAACCATCATTGAGAACTGCCTGCAATCTTACTGAACAGAGTACTATAACTAAGGATGTACAAGAGAAGCCATGTCGAGACTGTTAGGAGGGATGCAGACATGGAACAAGCTGGTCCCACACCCAAAATTAAAAATTCTGAGGGATATCTTGGCTGCAGAGGGCCCTATGAGGAGACAGGGGAGTTAGCCCCACACCATGCTCCCTACCTCAGGGTTTCAATGCGGGAAAGAGAAGTCAGCATAACTTTTGGCTGTGAAAACCAGTGGGGATTGTGGCTGAGTGAGACAGAGGGCTGCTGGACACCCAGGCAGTTCCTCTTAAAGGGACCACACACAGACTTACTTGCTGATAGACTAGCTTGCTCTGGAGCAGCCGCTCAAAAAGCACACAGGACTTCAGGGTGAGGGCTGAATTGTAGGACTTCAGGGTGAGGGCTGGGGGGAGGTAACTTTCTCCTAGACAGAATTGCAGGCAGAAGTAATTGTTCAGGAGTAGGCAGGCACCATATCTGAATCTCCAAGGACTTAGCTAACACTTTTCACACCGCCTCACCCAATTTGTGAGCCCAATCCATGATGCTTCCAGTGGTTTTTCCATACAAACATCACATATTGGTTTGTGCTGCAGACTTTTCTAAAATCTCTCAAACTTTCACAAACCCCACATAAGGAGGGTATGTCTCAGTATGCTTGATACATTTTTCTAAGTAGCCCCAAGCCTAAGACCAGTGGCAGCCAGCCACAGTTTGCAGCTTAGCCCAGCACAAGTGGCAACTATCTGTAGATCACTTTGTACCTCATACCAGGGTGGGCCCAAGCAATGGCTGATCTTGGTCCACCTAGAGACCCTCTCAAAAGGCTCAAGAATCAACATACCCAGTGGCCAGCTTCAGACCCTGCTAGATTCTCTCCCATCAGTTCTACATATAACACACCCAAAGAGCAGATTCAGCAGGCCCAAGAGCCATGCTTCAGTGAATCTTGTTCAGTAGAATCAGACCTTACACAACAGCTTCTCTATTGTAGTCATGGCCAGTCCTTCTAGCCAATCAGCATGAGGGTCATTCCCTCCCACTGAAGTACCACCAGAACTCAAGGCTCAACTACAACAGGAGGGTATACAGCCCACATGGGAGGGTGTACCTAGAGTGTCTGGCTCTAGTGAACAGAGAGGCTGTGCTACTGGACCCTACAGGATATCTACTAGCTTTGGCAACTCTACCAAGTCCCAGAGATGTAGGAGCTCTATCCAATACATTGAAACATACAGGGAGGTTGCCAAACTGAAGAGACAGAAAAACATATCTCAAATAAAAGAACAGAACAATACATCAGAAAAAGACTAAATGAAATGGAGACAAGCATTCTATCAGATGCAGATTTCAAAACACTGGTTGTAAGGATGGTCAATTAACTTAGGGGAAGAATTGTTGGTCTCAGTGAGAACTATAATCAAGAGATAAGAAACATAAAAATGGAGATAAAAACATAAAAAAGAACTAGTCAGAAATAAAGAATAGAATAACTAAAATGAAAACTACATTAAAGAATAGATGAAGCAGAGGAACAAATCAGCATTTTGGGAGATAAAGTAGCAGAAAACCTCCAATTAGAACAGCAAAAAGGCAAAAATAATCCAAAAATGAAGATAATTTAAAGAACTTCTGAGACTTCAAGCATACTAACATTTACATCATAAGGGTACCAGATGGAGGAGAGAAAGAGCAAGGAATTGAAACCCTATTTGAAGAAATAATGCCAAAAATTTCCTAAACCTGGTGAAGGAAGTAGACATACAAGTTCAGGAAGCACAGAGTTCCAAACAAGATTAACTCAAAGAGCCTCACACCAAGACACCTCATAATTTAAATGTCAAAGTTAAAGGCAAAGAGAGAATCCTAAAAGCAGCAAGAGAAAAGCAGTTAGTTACCTACAAGGGAACTTCCATTAGGCTGTCAGCTGAATTTTACAGGCCAGAGGGATTGACACAATATTTTCTTAGTAATGACAAGCTTGGACCTGCAACCAAAATTACACTACTCAGCAAAGCTATCATTTAGAATTGAAGGACAGATAAAGAACTTCCCAGACAAGAAAAAGCTAAGGTAGTTCGTCACCACCAAATCAACATTCAAGAAATTTTAAATGGATTTCTTTAACAAGATATAAAAAACAAAAATAAAGAAGATATCAACAACATGAATAATAAAATGGCAAAAACTACATACCTATCAATAAATACTTTAAATGTAAATGGATTAAATGCCCCAAACAAAAGGCATAGAGTGGCTGAATAGATAAGGAAACAAGACCCATACATACGCTGCCTTCAAGAGACCCACTTTGGATCAAAGGGAAGGGAAACTATATTTCATGCAAATGGAAGCAAAGAAACAAACAAAAAAAGTCAGCGTATACTTACATGAGACAAAATAGACTTTAAAACAAAGCCTATAACAAGAAACTAAGAAGGACTCAACAATTACACTTCTGGGTATTTATCTAATTTGAAAAGACATACGCATTCATGTTTATTGCAGCATTTTTTGCAATGGCCAGGATATGGAAGAAATCTAAGTGTCCATTGATGTGTGAATGAATGAAGAAGAGGATATATATATATATATATATAGTGTTACTCACCCATAAAGAATGAAATCTTGCCATCTGCAATCCTCTAACTGCACCAAGTGTGCAGTTGCTCCTTTTATGTCAGGGCATTTGAGGCATTTATTGCTAAATGATGACAGTGCTGTCAGGAAAGAGCTCAGATACAGAATAGCACAGTTGGAGCAGCTGTTTTCCTCTGAAGTACAATTACTTTTTTCCTCAGAACCAATGTGATCATTTTAACAGGTCCATTTCTTCTAGGTGCTCCGGTTGTAAATGTATATCAATGTGTAGCCTAACACAAATACATAAGATCTATTCTATTTGATGTCAACTGACAGCTTGAAGTTGCCCCAGATATAAAAATATTGCCCCTAAAATAAACTAAAGTGTTGGTAACAAACCTCTCAAGATGACAGAAATAAACAATGATAAGAACAAAAACGATAAAAAGGAAAGTTAAATAAAGGAAAACTATTTGAAAAGACACTGCTAACTTTGTAAAAACGTAACATTTTAAACCTTTTGGAAGTCTTCCAACTATTCTCCTAATCCATAACTTACCGAATGGCTGAACTCACCTTCCTCATGAGTCTGTGCCTAATTTAGCTATCTCACTGCGATATATCGTAAATGATGGTTAATGTTGCACACTTCCAGGAATATTTTAAGACATGAATCAGGTTAAGCTCTAGTAGAGTCAGACTGCTGGCTTCAGATCCTGAACTCACTGCTTCGTAGCTGTGGGACCTTAGACCTAACCAGTGGTTCTCACCCTTCCTAATGCCATAACCCTTTAATACAGTTTCTCATGTTGTGGTGACCCCCAATTTCATTGTTACAAATAGAACATAATTAAAGCATAGTGATTCATCACAAAAACAATATGTAATTATATAAGTGTTTTCCGATGGTCTTAGGTGACCCCTGTGAAGGGGCCGCAACCCACAGGTTGAGAACCACTGATTAACCTCTCTGTGCCTGTGCTTCACGATCAACAAAGTGGGGATAATAGAAGTGCCCATCTTACAGAGTTGCTATAGAGATTAAGTGAATGAATATTTCTCAAGTTTATCTAATGTGTCTGACACATATTTTACACTATTTTAGTGTTTGTTCTGTGTTTTCGGACTTCATCTAAGTCTATAGGTTTACATTTCCCACAAACTTTTTGAGTCTCTCATTTATTATTCAGAATTGTATAGCCTCAATTCCCAGCTGATTAACTGATATCATCCTATAGTACTTCAGGTCATTCTTTTATTTTAAAGACAGTTTCTGCTGTTTTTGTGTGGGATGAGCACGCATTACTATGTACCATTCCTATTGGGAACCATATCGTTTTCCTCTACTCTTGAGATTTATCCAGGGGTTTCTTCTCGACTTGCTGTCCTGTCCCCAGTGGTTCTGTGTATTCGTGTTCGATCTCCATTTGTGCGTTTGAAGAGATGTCGCTCATTTGTCAGTGCCACTCATTTTGTGGCGTTGGTGGAGGCTTTCTGAGGTTCTCCTTGATTATCTGAACCAATTGGTTATTTTTCTTCTTGTCTTTGTACAGTACTTTGGTTATGTACCACTTATCACATGAACCCGAGTTATAGTCTGCCTCCTCGGCACGGATGAGAGGATGTCTGTGCATCCCCAGCCTCGGCAGAGTTCCATGCACATGGTAAACCTACATTACGTTTGTTTGTTGAAGTAGAGGAATGATGTAGAAATGATTGTCCTAATAAATATCTGAGACATTTATTCAATTCGTGTATTTTAATCATCAGAGTTTGTGTTTATATTGACCTTATCATTTGCCAGGCACACATATCCTGCAATAGGAAATTAAGGCCTGGGACAGTTAACTGCATAGTGATGGCCCGAGGAGTGGTAGAAATGCACTTGAAACCCAAGCAGAGACTGAGTTTGCACTCTTCCCTATTGAATGTCTCTTACCATATCGACATAACTAAAGAAATAACTGTGTTAACTTCTTGTATTTATTATGTGCCAGGCATTATAAATGTTTCTTTGGGAACATTAACTCTTTTTACTGGACCTCTTTTTATTCTTCAACTTCATCAGATCAGAAATGTGAGATTTCATACTTCTGGTTTCTGTTCTGATATGTGGAGTTTAGAGGTCACCACAACCTTTCTCACAGTAAGGAAAAGTCAAGAAAACTGTAAGCCAATGTTTCTTATCCCTTAGAAAACTGTAGTCACAGAGAAAACTTCCATCCCCCCAAAGGAAGCAGAAAATGGTAGGAAAATTGAAATTGTAATTGACAAATTATTGGAAGTTCATTGTAGACTAGCTTGAGAGTTTAATACCCCTAGGGGTTCAACCTTCAGAAGGCCACTGAGCAATCATGAGTTTTATCTCCAGGAGCCCCACCAGTTTCTCAGAGTAATGAACAGAGAAAAATGCTCATTTACTTCCTGCAGTGCAAGGGGAAAAGTAACTATTTGGAAATACACCAAGAACATTTTTTTTCTAATTAACAAAAGTCTTCCCTCGAGAAAAATACTTAGAGACTAACAAACATAGGAAAAGGAAGATACCAACCTCCAGACCCCTCACGCTTTCCTATCTCATCTAAGTGCAGGAAGAGAAGAAAAGCTGAGATGTGTGAAGGTCACAGCTCAGTGGCACAAGATCACTAAATGACTGCAACTTAAATCAGAGGATTATGGAATGTTCCCACCTCCTCCAGAATTTATCACCATATCAACAAGGCTCCAGTTAAATAACAGTGGATTCAAGCTGAGAGAATGTCCAGAAACAGACTGTATTTAAGAAAAAAATCTGTAGGAAAACCCCAAACTGATAGGAAATAAAAATAAAGAAAGTAGAGGAAATTGATACCTTGGACATGTATAGCTACAGCAAACAGTAAACATCAGATAAACATAAACAATCACACTAAAGTTTCTTTTTACCTATATATCATGTCCAGCTTTGAACAAATATTTACAAAGCATACTAAAAGACAAAAACAAATCAAAACAATGTTTGACAATAAAGAACAAGCAAAATAATGCAAATCAGATATGCAGAGATTTTGGAATTATCAGAATGTGAGTTTAAAATTACTATAATATGCTGAGGAATATAATGGAAAAGAGTGGATATCATGCAATATCAGATGAGTACTATAATCAGAAACATGGAAATTACAGTAGAGAATCAAAACTAAAAGCTAGAGATAAAAAACAGAACACTATTACAGACCTGAACAATGCCTTTGATGGGCTTATAAGAGACTGAAAAGAGCTAAAGAAAAAAATCAACTATCTTGACGATATGTCATTAGAAAATCTCAAATTGAAAAATCAATTAAAAAAATAAAACAGAGTATCCCAGAACTCTGAGACAATTTCAAGATATACAACAAAAATAACAGGAATACCAGAAGAAGAAAAAACATAGGAAGGAACAGCTGAAATATTGAAGTAATAATGGCTGAGTATTTTCCAAAATTAATGACAGACTGAAACTACAGGTCAAGGAAATTCAGAGAACACCAAACAGAATCAATACTAAGAAAAAAATCTATCCCTAAACCCAACACATGCAAATTGTATAAAACCAAAGACGAAGAGAAAATTTTTGAAAGGAACCATAGGGAAAAACAAAACCAAAAACACCAAGAATAAGAATCACACCAGACTTTTCTTCAGAAAATATGTAAGCAAGAAGACAGTGGAGTAAATACAGGGTGTCAAAAAAAAGTATACACACTTTATCAGCTGACAGCTCAATTTTGACAATGAAATGTATTTTAATAAACATTGCCTTTATACTTATTCAAAGTGTGTGTACATTTTTGGGATGCCCTATACTTAACTATTGAGAATAATGAAAACACCAAACTAGAGTTCTATATCCAGTGGAATTTTCCAGTCTGAGTGACTCGTTGCTGCGTGAGCTTCCTGCTTGTGTTGCATCCAAGACCCACACCCTGGGCCTTGGCACATGCACATCCCTCTCTCTCTAGGCAGCCTTCCTGTCCTAGTCTGCAGAGAAGCTACTCTCCCTTAGGATTCCCTCGTACCCATTGCCCTTATCAACCATACTCTGCCACTAGCCAGTCTCTCCCTCCCCTCAGCAACAGGGCTCAGGGCCCTGCTCCATCACAGCCCACAAGGCTGGGCGGTTGTGTTTCTCTCTGGCGTCCTTCAGCAGAACCCTCAGAGGGCAGGGCTTTAGTCCTCTCCCTCTCTGCATTCCTGCATTGGTTGCTATCCAGGCATGCAGAAGTAAATCAATAAGTGCTAAGTTAAATTGAATCGCAATGGCCGACTAAGTGTACATATTGTCTCTGAGACATGCTTTATTGTGACTTTGAAGCAATATGAATTTTTAAAGCATCGGACACATTCCTGTTCTAAAGTAAGTTCAAAATGACATTGCAAAATCAATATAAATGTTCCTGGCATTGGGGAATTATCACTGTTATTTTATTACCGAGATGGATATATTTTAGACGATATCAACATTATTCTCTGTGCAATAAGCCTGGACTTAAAAGGAAATTGACCAGCCTTGATACTGAAACACATTTTAATGCCATCGTTGCTTGATTGTACTGACAGTACATTCATACTTATCCGTATTTCTAGAATGATTTTCTCTTGTCACCTATGATTATTTCCAGTACATTAATAACTGCTGAGTGATGTGATTTTAAAGACTATATAGAAATTTTATCTTGTCATTTTTTAAAATGATGAAATAGGGTTAATAAGATAAAATATATAGATGATGAACTCCAAAGCCAACTGTAAATAATTGCTGCATTACAATGATCACCATTTCCTTTCAATAACCCAGATGACTGACATTTGATTGTGTCCACACTGAGTGTTTTGTAATTAAACGTTGTTCTTGTTTTCTCTTTTTATGGTGTTTTAGTACTTCCTTACTCTTTTAGAATCCAACCCCATTTTATTCATAAAAGCCTTTTGTAGCCACCTTAGCATAATGTGATATCTCTTTAAAATATGTATTGTGTGCCTACCATGTTGCAGGAGCTGGGGATCCTATGCTGGTTAGTGGGGAGCAAGCCTCCTTTAGGGGACCCAAGAACTATTTTCAAAAGCGCTTTGAATTTTATTGGAATGGCTGTTAAAGAAACATTGGATTGCTATGTAACCTGTGCTTCCGGTCATTTTCAGTTTGTTTGGAAGAATTCTCATACTCTTGTGTCTGTAGTGTTCATGGTGTGTGTGTGTGTGTGTGTGTGTGTGTGTGTGTGTGTGTGTGTGTGTTTAAGTTAATTGACTACTAGAGGAGAAACTACTAGAGGAGAAAGCAAAGGTCTCTTCAGGAAATACCCTAAGACCGCATGAGAGAAAGAGTTCCATGTTTTCACTGATGAACTAAAAGAGAGATTCTAAGAAGTTTAAGGATGGATAATTCCGGAGATAATTAATCCAGGACCCCCATTTGCATTTCAAGATTCCTGATGAGGTTTGCCATGATATAGACCCTAGAAAACCTTGACCAAATAATGCTATGTTCAACTATCATAACTTAATTCTTAAAGAAATTTCCTTATGATTATTTGAATAATTTAAATCACTGTAAATTACCAAATGGCTTTACTGTAAGTATAAAAAAGATCATTCGTTCTTATCAGCATTGAGTTTAATGCTTTGTTAGTTTTCACAGATTTCAAATTCAATAAATAAATTAACATATTGTACTAAGGAAAATGACCCCCTTCTATACAGATATGGCAATGTTTTTTAAACCTTGATTAATCATTCAAGTTCAAACCATCAGGTGTGACAATAGAACATTTTCCAGTCTGACATTTTTATTTCTTATTATTGTATCTGTGAATCTGTAGATAGTTGATTTCTTTGCCTCTCAATATTTTAAGAGCAATATTAGTATTCTGTGACCTCAAAAGTGGCCTCCTGACCTCCTCATCGCTGATTATCCACAGATTCATCACCACAATGCACTGCAATGTCGGTCAAAGTAATAATTTTTGCCTTCCAATTACAGAATGTCCTAGGTTTATCCTTTTGCCTTTGCTTTCATAACTGAAGCTGTCAGCTAGTTCTTTCCTTGCATACGAACGTCCAACTTACTCAGACTCGTCACACCTTTTGTTCTGTTTTTTCCTCAGTCTTCATCTGAGTTCACTGCCTTAGGCCAGAAAGCACTCCCCACTCGACAGGGTCTTTAGATCTCCGACAGTTACACGCTCCATACTCTGTAGTTCACAGGCCGCGCTCTGCCCTCGGCTGATTCACCAGCATACATTGGACATCTGGACTGGAGCTGAATGTTTCAGTGCTCGATGCAGTTTGCTTTCTGGGTCAGCACATTGTGAACTGTGGCATTTAAGTGGTCCTAAACTTACTTTGCCTTGCATATTATAATGCCATATAACCCTGGCTTAGCTCCAGTTTTTATCTCTGTTTTTTCTTATTGTTCCCAATGTGATCATCTTTTTCAAGAAAGCTTGCTTCGAGCTAGTCTTGCATCAATGATAGCAGTAATGTTTTCCACTCTCAAAGTGAATCTCTTAAATAAAAGATGCCACTGTCTTGCAAATGAAAACAAATCTGTGCTAAACTCAATGTGTGAAAAAAACACTGCAGGGGAAGCTCAACTCTCCTGGTCCTAACCTCTTTTATAAAATATCTGTCAGCATGATGAGAAAAAATGTTAAGGTAGAAAGCATCCAAATTAAGAATTTAAAAACATTTCAAGGTATTTTTCTAGTTTCTTTGCTCCGTTCTGTTGGCTTCTTTCAATCCTTATTTTACATTTAAACCTATAGTCTTTCATTCTCTTCTACTTTTCCACTGTGATGCCTTTCTTCTGTCTTCTCATATGATTGTATTACAGATTTTTTTGACTACATTGATATCCAATTAATTCATTGAATGTTTATGTTTAATAACAACAACAGACTGTTGAATCTCAGAGGGAAGGCGGGGGTGGTTGGGTGGGTGGGAAGAGATCAACCAAAGAACTTGTATACATATATGCATAACCCATGGGCACAGACAGTAGTGTGGTGAAGGCCTGGGGTGGGGGCAGGGTGGGCTAGAAGAAGGTCAAAGGGGGGGGTGGGAAAGGGGGACATATCTAATACTTTTAACAATAAGGATTTAAAAAAACAAATAAACAATCACAACAACAAAATAAAAAAGATTTTTTGAAGAAACGTAAGCCTTTGTGTAGAAGAGTTAGTAGGATACATTAGTGAATGACTCAATTCTAATTTTTAATGAATGTCATAATCAACAACTATTATTAGCCAGTGTTACTATTCATGCAGAATATACTATACACACACCCACACAGCTAGATCATCACTACTATGGATATTTCAGTTTTCCCTCTGATCAAACTAAATTGGGCACAGACTTGGCAGGTTTTACATATACTATACAACTCATCACCGTTTCCAAGATATTTACTACACAGTTTGACATGTGGTTTTATATATTACATACGAATCTCCCAGACACCTGGGTTGCTCAGCATCTACCTGATAGGTCAGTTTTCTATCAACATCTGGCAGGTCATGGGTTTTCTTTTTCCCCCTTTTTTTCCTCTTGAAGAAAGGCACTTATCAGGTTTACTGTGGTTGCTGTGTGGTTTCCTGGAAAGCTTTGCTGGGTTATAATTTTTCCTCCGACACGTTTAAGAAAGTATGGCATTTTGCTTTTTATTGAATCCCAAGTGCATGTGCTATGATCTATCTCATATACCTCTTCAAGGATACTTGAATACCAAATAGCCATCAGAAGAAAGTATATCACCTCCCTCCAGAGCAAAGGGCAAGCATGCTTAATGTCCAGCATAAGAAAGAATGCCTTGCCCTGACCAGTTTGGCTCAGTGGATAGAGCATCAGCCTGCGGACTCAAGGGTCCCAGGTTCGATTCTGGTCAAGGGCATGTACCTTGGTTGCGGGCACATCCCCAGTAGGGAGTGTGCAGGAGGCAGTTGATCGATGTTTCTAACTCTCTATCCCTCTCCCTTCCTCTCTGTAAAAAATTAATAAAAATATATATTTTTTTAAAAAAATGCCTTTTCTGCAGAGCAGAAGGAAGGATGTTTATCGCCTACTATAAAATATTTGGATTCCCTGAGCCCAAGGTTCCTTTACTATGATGCAACCCACTCTATGTGTTCTCACCCATCTGGACCTATCTGTGTCACCTCCGTGGGACATGGGGACAGGGAGAGCTTATGCTACTTGCTGTGCTGGGAGTAAATTCTTAATCTCTGACCAGGAATCTCATGTTCTGTCAGAACCTCGACACTCGGTCAGGCTAAATTTAGCTTGCAAATAAGTTGTTCGTTTGTAAAATCTCAGACTCTTTCAACAGCCAGGACATGGACTAATTATTATTATCTTACAATTATCTTAGCCATTGTTAATTATTAAGAAGCCATTTATAAAATATTTATAATTACAATATTTTAATATAAATTGGATTGTTTGCATAAGAGTTCTATTTCTGTTGCTACTACTGTAGTTTTGTTTAAAATGAATGACATCTATTCACCTTAGCCTCATGTTGTTTGCAAGGGATCAGTAACAAAAAAATAATCAAAAATATGTATATTTGAAGATGTCATGCTTAGTTTCTTCCGACAAATAATTAGAAAATTATTTATAAGCATGTAAATTTTTACCAAATTTGTAATTTGAATTTAACATCTAGGTCAGATGTCATTAAAATATTGATTGAAAAAATATATAAATAGCTAGACAAAACAAACAAAATCAAAACACCAGAAAAAGATTTTAAAAATCCATTATATTTCTGCATGGAAAAAATACTTATATTATGAAAAAATAGGGAATAATTGTCTTCTTGTCTTTAATAGATGACCTCCCAGAAAACAATTATTTCCTATTTTTTCATACTATAGAAGACTGTTCATGCACCTCAGAAAAACAATTAGTATCCAAATTTAATAGGGGAATAACAGGAAAGCAAAGCAATGCTTTCAAATGTTTCAAGTAAAATTACAATAAATTATAATTGAAAATGAACACTTTGAAAAAATATTTGGCACCTCATCTGTTTTTCTTCAGATAATTTTGCTCTCAGCTTTATACAAATATTAAAGATACCTGTTGTTTATGTTTACTTTGAGAATGCAATAGCGCAATGTGAAAATGCTTGGGAAAATCACAACCATTAACAAAAGCGTGGCTAACTCCCCTTTACTCTTTGTTGATAATTTATTTACGATTTAATCATTACAATGCATAATTGCATATTTGTTGGCAAACTCTTTAATCCAACAAAATTTTCTTTTAATGATTTTCATCAACAGTTGTTCGATTAGCCCTAGCCAGTTTGTCTCGGTGGATGTCTCGGTGGATAGAGCGTTGGCCTGCGGACTGAAGGGTCCCAGGTTCAATTCTGGTCAAGGGCACATGCCACGGTTGTGTGCTTGATCCCCAGTAGGGGGTGTGCAGGAGGCAGCCGATCAATGATTCTCTCTCATCATTGATGTTTCTATCTCTCTCTCTCCCTCCTCCCTTCCTGTCTAAAATCAATAAAAATATATATTTTAAAAGTTATTAGATTAAATTACTATCCAAAAAGTTATACCACTATATATTTGCATAAATATATGTCCAAGATATTTTCCTATGTGTAAATGCATTTATATATGTATATAATTTCAAGCAGTGCCTAAGTATGACTATGCATACATTTACATTACAAACATAAGTAATATCCAAAGATACAAAACGCATATTCGCATCCCAGACATTTTTTATGACCGAAAGAAAAAACACAATGAATTCTTGACCTATAAGGTATCTTTTTAGTTTTATAAGAACCCTTTAATTTTTGTGTTGTAGTTTATCTCAGATTTTCCCGAATATTACATGTAACTTTTTCTGGGCTCTTGGTTTCTTAAAACTATCACCTCTGAATGATTTGAGGAGAAATGTAATGTACTTTGCCATCTTTGTCAAACTTAATTTTTTTATAATGCATTATGACATCATGTAGTCATATCTCCAAAACACTGCATTGTAAACATGGATGTTCTTATTGATCTATTCAGGTGGTTCTAGAGACTGACTACTGTTATTCATTAAGTGGTACTCTTCTCATAAAATAGAGCCAGTTTGAATTTTGAAAAATGTGTTTTTTCTCCCAGGTGGGTGTGTTTAGGAAGAATCTGAACTCTAAATTCTTTATTCTGGGGCTTGTCAAAAGTTTCTTGCCTTTGGACTTTATAAAATCATAGGCTTTAGAAACTCTTGAAGAAATATACAAATGCTTTCTAAAAGATATATCTGGGCATGAAATTACAGAATGGAAGCAGTAATTCAATTTAGTTGCTGTTGATAAATGGTCAATCTCTTTTCTTTCAGAGGCAATAGTAATAACCCAGTGACAGTATAAGTGAATGTCTTACTCTGTTTTACCCACAAATACTTATTCATTAATATCATGCAATAGAAAATTATAAAGAAGGACAAAATAGTGTACTGTTGTAAATACTAGAGGAGGAGTTTTCAGGAGTATAAAAGTCTTCTCTTTTGTAATTCACCATATGTTTTACTTTGAAATCTTATTTCCATAAGCCATTTTATTTTGGCTCTGCATTTTTATAGCGTTAGAATGTCAATTTTCTATGATAGCTCCCACTTATTAAGTTATCGTATCATTAAAACTCTGTAATAGCATGTAAAAACAAACTTTAAATGTTATTTTTATACATTTAGGTGCAGGTCCACCATTTAGATACTCTAGTGACCATACAATGAATATGTGTTACATATTTTATACATCAATTATCTTAATATTATTCATTCTGATAAATAGCTTGTTTCCTTACATCATACTGTTTGTGATTAAAATGTTAAATTCCAGGAGACTTATTCATGCGTGTCACTTTTTAATTAAGAAGAGAAAGATTAGTCGACCTTTTTTCAAGAGATAACCACATGAAAGTCAACTTTTAATTACCCCTTTTGAAGTTTCAGTCCCAGTTGCTAACTGAGGTTCCAGAATGAAGGTTGGGAATGAGCTGCCACTTGAGAGAAGAGTTTCTCACATGTAGATCATGTCTGAATGCTGCGGGGGGGGGGGGGGGGGCGCAAGGAAATAGACATTCCCCACCACACTGAGCCATGGCGGTGGGCTGGTACTTGGTTACAGCAGGGACTCGGACGTGTTCCCCCCTTCCTTCTCCCTTCCTTATACCCTGGGAGCTCTTGGTCCCCACAGGGGACTGTAAACCTCATCTGCCCCCAGCATCTGCTTCATCTTACCCGTCAGTAGCATTCTCCTCTCTGACACCGGATGCTGTGCTCAATGGCAAACCATTTCTCTCTTTTCAGACTGAGTCCTTTGCGGTGCCATAGCACATGGATTTCAGGACTGCCTGTGAGGAGGTAGGTTAAGTGGCTTTGGGCTTTTCAACTTTTTCAAAACGGGAAGCCCTTGGCCTGCCTTTTATATAAGCGGGACACTGTGTTTGGTGGAGGGATGAGGGATGGGTTTATTTCACGTCCAGAGTAGCCTCTGTTTCTGAAGCCTAGAAAGCCAAAGGGCGCCTGGGGAAGGCGCAGGTATATTCACTCTTCCTTTAAGAAGGAGACGGGAGCATATTCGGCTTATTATTACGTCGCCCTGCTCCATAAACTATGCGCTGCAGGATTTCAGTAGTGGCAGGGTTGGAAGTAATTCTTTCACGTAAATGGTTATAACTCAGAAGTCATCGAAGGTCCCTTTCAGCACTAAAATTCTAGGATTTTATGACTTCAGTATTCTATAACTGTTTCAATATAATTTAATTATTAATCCATGGCCATTCAGATTCTCTGTAGAACTGTCATCACTCCTCAGCATGAGTTAGTGTCGTGACATTGCTCCTCCAAGGATAGTAAAGGGCACGCAAGTGTGCAGCCAAGAGAACTGGACTTGGGTCTCCAGGGACTGTAGCTATTCTATTTTCGGAAGAAATACTATCTTTTTTACTCAACAAAGGGCATTCAAAGCATTGTCTTGTCATTCTTCAGGTAAAATGCTAACATTCACAGGTTAAAATATTTCACATGTTTGCCTAGGAGGTTTAAAATATTTTTATCGTGTACAAATAACCCAAGACAAAAACAACCATAACTAGGTTACCTATGATCGAGTTAAAAACAAACCAGCAAAAAGCTTCTGTTATTAACATTTAGGAAGATTTTTTTAAATGAAATGTCATGTGTTAACATTCTTGCAAAAATCTTTTAAGAAAGTGCCCCAGTTTATTCATAGCTCAGAACCGAATTCTGAAAATGAGTTGCTTTTATATGTTTAAGGCTTATGTTTCTTACATTATAGTTATTGATTTACAAACCTCTCAATGCACTGAGTACTATAACATACGTACATTATTATAACAAAAGCTGCCCCATTCTCTCAGGACCGAAGCTTAAGCTCAAAGACTGGATTTTGCTTTCCGGGCAACTCTCTAATAATTAGGGGACATTTTGCGCATTATTTGCATGTGGAGCGAATGAAACTTTGACTGCATTGGGAATGTGATGAGAAAAGCTTCTTTTTACTGTTTTAGTCCCTTGAACTTTCCCGAGGTGATCTTTTATGTCTCGTTGATGTGTAAAAATAATGTATGTAAGGCCTCTCAGGGAAGGGCCCCTCTCCCCTCCTTGACTGGAGCAGAGCATTATTTGTGAACGCTATTTCTTCCATTGCATTGGGGGGTGGGGGGGTAGGTAGGGGTGGGGGGAGGGAAAGGCCTGATTGTACCGTGCATTGAAAAATCAACAAATGAGAGTTCAAACGGTGTAACACTGTTCAAAACCGAAGAGCATTAGGTGCCCGTGTCTTTATTCTGCTCACTGTGATACTGCAGAGGAATTATCCTTTGCCACTGCTCAGCGAAATTAGCGTGTATGCCTAATGCTTAAGCATCACTTGTATGATTTCATTTTATTTTTTCCAGTTTCCTCGCATGATGGTGTCTCTGTTACTGGTTTTTAAGAGCTTGTTTATGGCTAAAGAGATGTTAACCATTTCGCATGCGTTGCAAATGAAATACCTTGTTTTTTGTTATTATTTTACTCTAGTGTCTTACTCTTTGGTTGTATCAAATTTGTGTGTTAAATACTAGTGTAACCAAGTTCTGTTTAAAAAAAAATCAACAGATGTGCTCAACTATGTTCACATGGCTTTGATATTATTTACACCCCTCTGTCCGGATGCTGGCTTCTGGTTGAGATCACATTATAAGCATGAGAGACTTTTCTATGTGAAAAACAGAAAATTATGTTTTATCTGAAGAAACATGTAATTTGCTTTCCTTGAAATATCATCCTCCAGACATATCCATTGGAGTGATGCTTTAGAATAGATTAATGGACACAATTTAGTGAGTTCCTGCTGTGTATTTGTCTCACAGAGGAGGAAAGGACATCTGCAAAACCTTAATTTTCTTTGAAGTAGATGATAACTCTTAGGAAATAATTACAGGGTAATATCATATCAAATGGGATAGAGGGCGTAATGGTATGTATTAGTGCAAGGTATAAAGCAGTTTACAGAGAGAATTATCTTGGGAGGCTGCTTTATCTAAGCATATTCTTATCAACATTATGAAACATCCTTTTTTAGAAACACACCTCTAGCAATTCACATTAAATTTCTATTTCAAGAGAAAGCCTAGTATTATTTGCATGGAATTGGGTGTTCATTAAATACTAAGAACATAAATGCTTTCTATGAGCTTATCCCCTTCTCTAAATGAGCACTAAATCAATAATCATTAAATTAAAATGCAATTGCCAAAGTGGTCACTCTTCCTATGGATTTGGTGCAGAATAACCGCCAGAGACTATATGATGTCTCAAAAATGTTTCATTTTGTATCTCTGACCAATGGGAAGGCTAAGGGCACGTGCCAGGGAGAATCTGCTTATTTATCGGGGTGCATAGTATAACACTGACCTGCTTCAGGAGGTGACAAGTTTAAAGCTACGTGGTACAAGTTTGGAAATCATCACCGGCTGTTTCAAATTCCCAAAACAGTGTGAAGCAAAACAGTGGATTGTGAATCAAGAAAAAAATAAAAAAGAATCTTGGGTCTCAAACCAGGCTCTGTTTTTGATTAATTGTATTAATTTAGGCAGTTCACATTGCCTCTTTACTTTTTAAATTTATCTTTATTGTTGGAAGTATTACAGATGTTCCCCCCCCCCAATTAACCCTCTTCACTCCCCATCCAGGCCTTCACCACACTATTATCTGTCATTGGGTTATGCATATATGCATAAAGGTTTTTTGGTTTATTTCTTCCCAGCCTCTTTATCCTTGTTCCCTTATCTGTACAAAGTGTGTGTGTGTGTGTGTGTGTGTGTGTGTGTGTGTGTGTGTGTGTTGGTGACTAGAAATGATGAAATGGCGAAGGTTAGAGAAGATGTTTAGGGGGTTCTTTTTCAGATTTAAAATTCCATGATAGAGACAGAAAGTAGATTAACATGGTTGCCTAGCCCTGAGGAAGGGGCTGGGAAAATGGTGGCAATACATTTCTTTTTGGAGAAAATTGATTATAATGGTAGTTCTATAACTTAATATAAAAAAGTTCCCACATTGAATTATATAATTTAAGGGTTGAATTCTATAGCATGTAAATTGTAACTCAATAAAGCTGTTGCAGAAACTCTATAATTAGATAAGTATTAAACAAAATGTTCGTTAATTTTCTAACATAGTATAAAAACTACACTCTTTACTCTCCAAATGTTCATGTGGATTTTCTGACATCGTCTCCATTACCGGGGGTCGGGGGGGGGACTTGATGTGAAATGGTTCTCCCTTTCTCTGCACCTACGTTAGGTGTTCAGTCTCAGACGCATCAGAGTGTGTTTTCTGTAGCTCTGACGTGTTATTCATCATGTTTTACAGGAAATCAACCATCCAGCATAATGTATAAGCTAAGCATAATATGTTCTCTGTTTTTGTCTGAAGACAAAGACAGGGATTTGTTTGCTGCAGGATGGCAATCAGGAGCCTTTCAAAGTCCGGCTGCACCTGGCCAAAGACATTCTGATGATCCAGGAGCAGGATGTGATATGTGTGTCTGGTGAGCCTTTCTATTCTGGTGTAAGTAGCTCTTCCTTCCGTTGAAGATTTTTGTTTGTGTTCATGAAAATATTTATCCACAGAAAACTATTCGTATGTTTTTCTTTTATTGTAGAGCTTAGTCCAGCGGTTCTCAACCTGTGGGTCGCGGCATTAGGAAGGTTGAGAACCACTGGGCCCTAGTCGATAATCCTGCGTGAAATTTTTGTTTACATCATTAAGGGAGCAGGGTCCTTGCAGAAGTACCCATACTGGCTCCACAGCCACACATTTAGATGCCGTCTCCAGCGTGGTGTCTCACTGTTAAATCTGTGAGGGCTTTCTATGTACATCATCATGACATCTAACATAAAGCCATTTCACTGCTTTCTTTCCAATTGTTATGTTGTTTATTTCCATTTCCTGATTTGCTGTACTACCATTGAGTAGAAATGAAGCAAGTCATGATCCTTGACTTGCTTTCAAACTCCGAGAGTATGCTTACTGTGAAACATAATGCTAGTGAGAAGAGACGTGGTCATTAGATGCTCAGGTTAAGGAAGTTCCATCCCATTCAGACTTTGCAGAAAGTGCTTCTTATAAATGAGTGTCGAACTTCATCAAGTGATCTTTTTGCATTTGCTGAGATTATTATGGGATGTTTCTCTTCAATTCTATCCAAGTTCTCCCCCAAACTTTTTTCAAAAGAGAGAGTAGGTCTGTGTATATTCGTTATTTCAGCTGCCACATTTAAAAGCGATAACAATATTTCAATGTTGAAATACTGAATTTCACAAATTATAAAATTTTACTGATCCAGGTCCTGTGTAATAAATTTATGCCAGATTTATATAAGTCATATTTCTGTAGTTAAAAAAAGAAGGAAAGAATGAAAGAAAGGAGGGAGGAAGGGAGGAAGGAAGGAATGAAGGAAGGAAGGAAGGAAGGAAGGAAGGAAGGAAGGAAGGAAGGAAGGGGTGTAGTTTTTATACTATGTTAGAAAATCACTAGCTTTTCCTTAACTAAAAGAGAGGGTAATCCCATGGGAGCAATTTAATCTAATTTGACAGCAAGGAAGGAAGGAAGGAAGGAAGGAAGGAAGGAAGGAAGGAAGGAAGGAAGGAAGGAAGGAAGGAAGGAAGGAAGGAAGGAAGGGATAAGGCACTAGTTTTTCCTTAACTAAAAGAGAGGGTAATCCCATGGGAGCAATTTAATCTAACTTGACAGCAAGACCCGTGGTTCAGGATGATTTAAATAGTCTGTGACAAAAGAATGGTCAGCAGTCTGCAAAAAGGCCATTAGCTTTACTTAGTGAGGGCCCATTGATTTAGGACCCGGTGTGACTCCCATTGGATGTTAGTGAGGAGTGAGGTGGAAAGTTCAGCATTATTCACCACCAACAAGACACTCCAAGGTAAGTCTATTAATAAGCTGAAAATTAAGTCTTCAAGCTAAAGAGCTACAGTGTCTGGGGAATCCCAGAAGCCAACTGTTTGATACTTACTGTAATTTTCTTCTCAGATCACATATGGCAACAAAGTTAAGGTGATGTCTTTAATGTTATTGCACAACAAATGATAAGTTCCAAAACTTGTCCTGTTTTATAATAAAATTGTTTTTCTTAAATGAAACTAATTTCACCTAAAGGATATCTTCCACAGTGGTATTTCAGTGCTAGTTAGAAGAGCAATGAGTGTGACTGATAATTTATGGCTCTTTCTGAGGCTAAGTTAGCATTAGATAGAACTTGCTAGAACACTCAGACATATGGTGTTAGATAAAAGTCCAACTTCATTCTTGCAGATGGAAAATGATATAAATATTGGAAAAGTTAAATCCCATTTGCTCAACCCAGCTCCAGGTTGAATGTGGAGTCTTGGAAAGTCTGCTTTCTATCCAATTATTTTTTCTTTATAGGAAATCTGTCCCTTCTTTCGGATTCCTTTGGAGATTTCAGAGTCTTTGCCTACAGTGGCCTGCAGGTTCACTCTGATGCATCTTATCTAAAGATGTTTGCTATGTGCTTTGCTTGAAAGACATACGACTTCTTAAATATGAGGGTTTCTGCATTTCTTCCATTCAAAAGAATGATCAGTTATTAACTTTTTAAGTGTTGCTTATTTCCCATTCCCTCTGTTCTTCCCTTGAGTAATTTTTTTGCATGTATTTTACAACAGCTCCTTTGATTCTTCATCCTCTACTTTTTCTCATATTTTATACCTGTTTGTCTCTCTGTGCAGTGCTAAAGTAACCCTTTAGTCTTCCTTTCAGTCCACTAAGCTCTCTTTGGTTAAATTTAGTCTTTTGTTTGAACTATATATTGAAATTCTGATTCTGGTAATTATATTGTTTGCTTCTAAAAGTTCCATTCTGTCCCATTTAATAATAGTCTATCCCATCAAAATATTTTATATTACTGTCATTCATTTGACATCTCTTGTTCTAGTAATCATGGTAATCCTATTTCTGTGATTGGATCTGGAATTCTAGTATCTGCCATCTTTGCAGATCTTGGTGTGTTGTTTGTCCCTTGTTTGTTTGCTGACTCACTCATTGTGGTCTGTTTCCTCCTGTGACTTCTCACTGTGAGCTCGTGTTGTTTGATTCTGTGGGGGAATTTTTTGGAGTTTGACTCTATAATGTGTTACAAAGACTATTTGCATCCTTAAACAAGTGCCTACGGATGCTAGCAACTTAGATATCCTTTAAACTTAATGCTCAGTTAGGCTTTTGAGGCTACCTAGGTAGAACAAAATTCATTTCAAACTCACCTGTGGACCAACTCATTTACAGATTCTCAGAAGAATTGGTTTTTAATTCTTATATTGAGAGCCAAGTTCAAAATGGGCGAGTCTTCTATTACTCTTTTGGTGGTTGGGATCATTTTTCATCCTTACACTCTACGACAGGGCCAATTCTCACCTTGCCCCTGACCTGCTAGTTGTGGGCTCCCTGGGGATGCCATCGGGGCCAGAGGTCACGTGAGCCTTCTTACCTCCTGGCTCTTCTTACCTTCATACCACTTCAACATTGTTTCTGACAACTTAGAGTTTTTTCTTCTTTGTTATTTCCCTGACTTTATTTTTTGTTTGTTTGTTTTGTTTTGTTCATGATTTTATTGTGCTGCCCTGGAAAGGGATTTCCGTATATTTGACTCAAGAGTGTCAGACCCAAGGTTAGGTTTGTGTGTGTTGTTTTTTTAACGGTAGAAAGACTACTGGTTTTTAGATCAGACAGACTTGACTTATAATCTCAGCCTCACTATTTGCTAGCTTTGTAATCGGAAGTGAGTTCATTACCGCTTCTGAATATTGGTTCTCATGAGTGAAAAAGATGGAATACCTGATTTTCATAATTCACTTGACAGCATTAAATGAGATTGCATTACCATGGTGATTCCTAGCAGTGAACAATGAAGATTGTTCCCTTTTTCTCATTTTCTGATTATGTGCTATTTATATATTTTTGTCTTAGTTTCACAACCTTCATTTGAGGTCACAATTGTTTCCAAAAATAATGAATGAACTACAAATCTGGATATTTATTCCTTTCTACAATTTATTTTGTGTACAACTTTGAATGCTTATTCCGGATGAGCAATTTGAGCTGGAAAAATAGTCTTTCTGTATAAAATTAGAAAATGAATCATCTCATCTCAAATGAAATGAGTGAATCTTTTTAAATATAAAAGAGTTTCATTATTAGTGCTTTAAATCAAAATATTCTTAATATGACATAAGTAAAAAGAGCCTTAGATTATCTTAAAGATTATAGATTGCCCGGCTGGCATGGCTCAATGGTTGAGCACCAACCTATGAACCAGGAGGTCACAGTTCGATTCCTGGTCAGGGCACATACCCAGGTTGTGGGCTCGATCCCAGTATGGGGCATGCAGGGGGCAGCCAATCAATGGTTCTCTCTCATTGATGTTTCCATCTGTCTCTCTGTCTCCCTTCCTTTCTGAAATCAATAAAAATATATACTTATTTTTAAAAAACAATCCCTTTGAACCTGGTTTATTTGCACTTGCAATTCCAGACATATACATGAATCATTTATATGCTGGGCCATGCCAGCCTCCCAGCTCTGCTCTCAGATCTTCATAACAATATGACTTGTAGTGATAAAGATAAGAACTTAGTTGACAACGATAATATTTACCACTGACATTGAAATATTTTGATGTAACCAAAACATGGTCATTCCTTAGACAACAAGGATGCGTAATGTGAAATTGAGAAGAGCTTTAAATTTGATCCCAAAATATGTCCAAAAAATCATTGGAAAGAAGAAATTTTTAGACATTTAGCTATTTAATAACACTACAGACCTTTTATCTTGACAAATAAATTATTAATGTTTGATTTTAAAATTACAAAAGACTCCATTTACTGCAAGATTTGTGAGTCTCTATGCGGACACTGTGTGTGTGTGCGTGCGTGTGTGTACGTGTGTGTGTGTGTGTGTGCGTGTGTGTGCGCGCACATAAAATAAAACCTAGAGGAGTGATATGTTGTGTAAATGCAGTTTTCTAAAAGCTAACCATTTTTAACATCCTTTCTTTCAGGAAAGAACGGTGACCATTAGAAGACAAACTGTAGGAGGATTTGGATTAAGCATAAAGGTAACCTGTGTTTCCAGTCTAGCCTTATAAAGGTTGTACTATAATGCTGCATTTTTGTGTATTTTAATTTTATCTGATTAGTAATTAGATATATGGCTATAGCAAACTCCTCAATATTTGGATTGAAATGTAAGTTAAGTAGATTCTCATAGGACCTTGGTCACCTTTTGATTAAGAAATTTTGCAGAAGTATTTGGAACTTTTTTCTCACCTGGCATTAAATATAACTAATAAATGTTTGTATCTGGTTTCATCTAAAATACCAAATATGGATGGTGTTTTAGTGTACATATCATACTTTAATCAACCAGCGTAGGAACTACTGACCTATCAGTGAATGGAACAAGAGCAGGTTCTATGCTAATGAGATCTTAAGTTAAGTGTTGGTTGAATTCTATTCATTGCCTGTCCAGTTTCTAAAAAAAACACTGAATTTTTATTTTTTCAAATTAAAAAGCACAATATATGATTTTATCTTTACAGGGGGGAGCAGAACATAACATTCCAGTTGTCATTTCAAAAATCTCCAAGGAGCAAAGAGGTAAAGTTTTAAGAGAATAATGCAGTAGCCATTCCTTTGTCAGCTATTGTTTTTGAAGAATAAGATGGTATTTAAGAATCATAAATTGGTATGTCATTGAACAGCTCCAGCTTCCCCAAGACCAGGCAGTAAGTGACTGAGTCTGATTCCTGAGTCTATGCCCTTTATTACCCCAGGGAAGGGCTTCTCTAGGGAGAGTGAGAAGGAAAGAAAATAGAGGCTATGACTGCATCTGAATTGGGGGTGCATAGCATTTTAATTCTTTCATTAAACAAACATACAAAGAAATGAGATAATAACTCACATGAAGTATAAGCAATTTTATGTACTTATTATTTACAGTTCTCAGATGCAAGTTAACTCAGTTATCCCTCCACATAAACTGTTATCTAGGAAAAACACTGAAGATGTAAAGCGATGGAAATGTATACAATAATCAAATGTTTAAAAAGAAAGTGGGAGCTGATTCAAAGGCTGATGGACTGAATGTCTAGAGCTAAACTTTTTCATGGCTACCTTAAAATGGTCAGTACATGGTAAAATTTAGTCATCACCCAGAAGAGTGACTATTCTTTTTTAAAAACCGTACGATCTGAAATGGTAGAACTAAAGAGAACTATCACAGCTCGTGTTTCAGTATTTGGGCTGAATCATGTGATTACTTTTGTATTTCCATTGTGCATCTTTTAAGATAATATCCATAGTAAGCATTTATTTTTTCTTTTATCAGTTTGACTTAAAAAATTCTTATCTGTGTGAAGAAAGTAGTTCATGCACAATCAGCTGTCCCTTTGCATTCACAGCAGAACTTTCGGGGCTGCTCTTCATCGGGGATGCGATCCTACAGGTATGCATTTTGCCAGTATTGTTTTATGGCAACCAAAACATGAAGTCAACCATGATATACCATCTGAAACTCTACTTCTCCTTCATTGCAGATCAATGGAATTAATGTGAGAAAATGCAGACATGAAGAAGTGGTGAGTTTTCTTTACTTTTTCTTTAAATCATGACTTTCCCCATGTGTAAATGAAGATTTAGTACATTGCTAAAAACTATTCATGTTATTGATTTGAAGGATATGACATTGGACCAATGTGCTATCAGATTTACAAAGGATCTCTTGATCTCTTAATTAGTGGTGTTCTTTGTTTCTTTGTTTGTTTGTTTGTTTGTTTTCATATTTGAAATAGATCAGGGAGGACAGCCCAGGATGAAATGTAACTCAAAGATATACTTAAGGAGGGTCATTTGCTATGTTTTTTCCTATGGTTTTTTTAAATTAATGCCTACCAATTAATGTCCACTAAGTATATTTCTACATGAAATACATCTCAAAATTTTTGCAAATATTTAAAAGCAATGAAATTTATGCCTGTAAAATCTCACACAGTAGCAGGTCAATTGGAAGATCATATAAAGTCTGAGAGAGAGAGAGAGAGAGAGAGAGAGAGAGAGAGAGAGAGAGAGAGAAACAGAGATTTTAACGGAGCTTAATTTCAAGGCAAACAGGTTTAAAACTAGGCAGATTGGTCTTCAATTTTTATTGTGGCATTTTGTTGGATTTTGTTAAACCTGCCGATCTGAAACCTTGGCCTCAGATATTCTAACCCAGTCAGTTTAGGTTGGACCAGGAATTAGGATTTTAAACAATCACTTCAAGTGGTTCCATTGCATGTGGCTTCTAAACTATACTTTGGGAGAAGATGGAAGGTTGAGAAGCTTCTGTTTGAGATGCTGAGATGCCATAACAATTATGCAGAAAGGAATAGGAAAATGTCAGGGACTTGGGAAAATGCTTGCCATGGTTGATTAAATAACACTTACAGAACGTTTGTTGTATTTCTGTCATTTCATGTGGGAAGAATTAGAGGAGAAATTATGGTTAATTGTTTACACTCAAGGGTCAAGCAAAATATAAAGTATTGTAAGCCTTTTGCTTCCTACAGCTCTAATTTATTTGGTTGTGTAATACATTGCTCCTCTGCTAAAAGGGATTTAGAAAACCCTCTGATATATTTACGTATTTCAACCCTCAAAGAGACAACCTCTAGTGTCTGTGAAAAGCTGAAGTTCTACAAGTAGTAATATTTATTAGGGAGGGTCCTTGATTAGGAGCACTTAGAATAATTAATCAGTATTCGTCACTTGTCTTTGTCTTCTTAAAAATCTTACTGGGGCCACCCCTATTGCCACTGGGTGGTGGATTTTATGTAAAATATGAATCTGTCAAGTCTCAAGCTTCCTGCACGTATGCACAGAGGAAAGTAGTGTTTTAGGCAAGTGAGAGAACTCTGCATAGCAAAGAGCACTGTGTGCAGACTCATGTTAATTTTAAATATGGTAATGTAAGCAAAGATATTTTAACTTTAGTCTTTCCCCTCAAAAGTACAAAGTGATTTTAAGCTCATTATACTGGGAGCAAAATGAAGTGCATTCTCTTTTTCCAACCACATGCTGTTAGATGGAATCGTTTTTGCACTTTGCTCCTCAGAGGCAGGCAGCATGCTTAAGATAAATAGTGATGGACCTTTGATTAAACAGGTTAATGGGGCATGAAAGTCTAGAACACACCAATAATGCCACTTCTTAAGGACATCCATTCTCTTTCAAAGAAAGGGAATTTAGAATTGCATTACAAGTGTGTGTGGTGCCCTAGCTGGTTTGGCTGAGTGGATAGAGTGTCAGCCTGTGGACTGAAGGGTCCTGGGTTTGATTCTGGTCAAAGGCACATGCCCGAGTTGCAGGCTCGATCCCGAGTAGCAGGAGGCAGCCAATCAATTATTCTCTCTCAGCATTGATGTTTCTGTCTCTCTCTCCCTCTCTCTTCCTCTCTGAAATAAAAAATATATAAAAAAAAACCCAAACAAATTATATGTGGTCCTTCACAATAAACTTTTATCTTTAAGATGCTTAACCTTATCAGCTTTGAAATATAGGTACTGACATTCTTATTTAATTTCAATCTTTTACTTCCCAACAGAGATTTGATGCTTTTGTCCTCACTACTAATTACCTGAACAAATAGACTACTACACCTCAGTGGAACTAAGATGTTAATTAAATGTTTAAGAATGGATTTACATGGGCAGAAAAAGTACAAGCATCTCAGAGGATGTAGATGGTCTTAAAATAGCATGCTGATATTACCACATTCCTTAGTCCAAGTCAGTAATTCACACAAAGTTTCAAATTCAGAAACAAATTTTGTAGACATGACTATATATTGTTTGTGCATGTAACTTTTATTAATCTACACTATTCAGTCACATTGTTAGAAATTCTGCATTTAGCTCGAATCAGCTTCACTCTTTTTATTTTACTTTTTTATTTTATTTTTTCCATCACCATTGATCCCTTCTACGCCCTCTTCCACCTGCACCCCCACCCCACCCACATTGTTGTTCATGTCCATGATGATCAGCTTCACTCTTTTAAAATTTAATTTAATTTTTTAATATATTTTTTATTGATTTCAGGGAGGAAGGGAGAGGGAGAGAGAGATGGAAACGTTAATGATGAGAGAGAATCACTGATTGGCTGCCTCCTGCATGCCCCACACTTGGGATCGAGCTCACAACCCGGGCATGTGCCCTCGACCAGAATCGAACCTGGGATCCCTCAGTCTGCAAGCTGACGCTCTATCCATCAAGCCAAACCGGCTAGGGCCAGCTTCACTCTTAAGAAGCCTTCAACAGTATAGCTGTTACTTTTGTATTGAAGTTTAAGGTTTGAATTAATGTAATGTATATGAAAATGCCAGCACAGCTCTGGAAACTTAGAAAAAGTATACGTTGTTTTATGCCATCAAATACTATTGCTTCACACACTGGCACTTGTAGTGGAAGAGTTTGTATCCTGACTCTACAATCAAGATTGTTATAAATACAAATCTATTAATATAATTGAAATTTCTATCTCATAAGACTTTTAAAATAGAACAGGTCATTACAAGGCCAAGCAGGAACAATGGCTAGATGATTCCAGAGATTTTCTTCTAAAAGAACATTTCTGATTTCAGGTTAGAGGTTCATGGGCCCTAAAAAAGAGATTCATCTGGTTTTTTAAAATTTTATGGTCTTAATAATAAAAATATTATAGTTCTGATCTGTGATTTTAAAATCAATTCTAAAAAGCTGTGTAATTCGTGGTGGAAAATCAACATGGTGGTGGGCAAGACCAGAGTGAGGGTGAGAGTGTGAGTGGGTAAGTGTGTGCGGGGGCGAGTTGGAAAACAATAGGAAATTGAAGAAAGAACTAGAGGATGATACCAACAAACGGAAGCATACACCTTGTTCATGGATTGGGAGAATTACCGTCATTAAAATGTATATGCTACTCAAAGCAATCTATAGATTCAGTGGAATTCTGATGAAAATATCTATGGCCTATTTCACAGAATTAGAACAAACACTTCTCTGATACTGTTTCTTATCAACAGTTGGAATCAGGTTAAACATCTCCTAGTTACATCCTGTTGAGTTTGCTGATTAGTTTGGAAAATGTCTAAGAATTCCTTCTCAGTTGCTTTCACAAAGCAATATCAAAAGGAAGGCATACTTTATTGCTGCGTTTGACGTCCTTGACAATGCAATATTGGTTGCTGTTAATTCGGTGTGTGATTCCTGCCCTGTAGGGGAAGTGAGCTCGTTAGTTCCAGCAGTGAACAGAAACAGTGCTGGGCCGGTCTTCAGACCTACATGCTATGTGTCTGAGACATCTTTATTGTGTCTCCAGTTTATGAAGCTCCGATAGGAACAGAATCAGCAGCAGGGTTGTAGCTATTTCCCAGTCCAGTGATCTGACAAGTTGTTGCCCCAATCAATCTGTCACCACGTCCCTCCCATCTTTTCTCTCGTTAAGTTGTAGCTGTGGACCAGCACCACCTGGGGTTATGGCTGCCCCAGGTTGCCATGGAGACGGAGCAATAATAGAGATGGAAGTAGAGCTTTGTTTCCTCCTGTTATTACTGGCACACATTCACTTGTTGTACCCAGCGCTTCAAATATAACCAAGGCAGGTGGCATGACAATAAGGGAATTTCAAAGACACGTGAGTCTAGTGTCTTTAACACTCCATCTGGGCAGGGAGTCCAGCTTCCCTTATTCTCACCTGCTTTTCAAAGGAAATGTTTGTGGGAATTACAATCAGTCCTTCTTTCTAAGGCTGTTTCGCTTGAAAGTATTCTCTGTGAGTTTACATGCACTCAAAAAACATTCTTCTAAAATCTCTGTCTGAATAGAAACCATTTCTATTTTATGTCTCAAGTGAATAGTCTATAGATGGTATTCATTCGCTTCTATTCATTTAAAGGGCTAGAGCTTAACTTCCCTTGTTACTAAAGCATTGCTAGGAAGTCACAGGACATACTCAAGACTCGAGATGTCCTCTGAGAAACTGTGGTTTTAATGTAGAGGCTAATCTAAACACAGACTGGCACAGAGCTATTTTTAACATATTATCAATAATGTGTTTACCCCTTTCCTGGCAGTCCCTTTGGATTAAGATGACACATGCAGTTTGGAGAGAAATGAAGGTGCTAATGAACCCTAAGTGCACGAACAGAAAGTTTTCCTAAGGAGTGTTTTTTGTTGGTTTGTTCTTTTGTTTTTGTTTTTTGTCATTCAGGTACCGGGAGTGTCCTTAGGGAGTGTCCTTAGGGACTTTGTTGGAATAGAAGTAGAAAAGTAGATGAGAGAGAAGTTCAAGAAGACAAAATAGACAATACGTTTATAATTTTGCTAACAGTCCATCCTTATATATTTTTAGTAATTCCCATACAGGTAATATAGGGACATATATGGCTTCCAAATAGAGTAAATGCCTCTCATAAAGTATCCGTACTATGCATAATTCCATAAATATCTTATGGCTTATACAGTTGTCATCTCTCCAGTACTGTTGTGCATGATAAGTTTCTTCATGTATTTAGCAACATGTAAGGCAAACTATTTTCTCCCTATTCCCTTAATATATTCTATTTGGGAAATTCATTTACACTATTATAGTTGAGACATACACATCTATTTTTAAGTATTTGAAATTATCAGACTCCCAAAGAAACTACTGTTTTCCCCTGGCCGTACAGCTATGTTTCTCCCTGTGCAAACTTCAGTAACCAAGGAAATGCTGGCATAGCCTAATCTGGTGACCCCACAATGATGCTAATGGTATTAGAGGATACTATACTCAATGAGTATCATGGGGGGGAGGGGCATTTAAAATTCAGAATAACAAAAGTAAATTGACTTACACAATAGACTAAAATGACAGTATATGGCAGAAAACAGCACAAGACCTAAAATGTTTACTTCTTGAGGTCTGTGTTCTGCAAACATGATAATATGCACAAACAGATATTTAGTAATTGCATGCTGCAGCTGCAAATCTAATGTGGGTGTAATAGTGTTTGTTTTTTCAGATCTTGACAATTCATTTTATATGAGATAAGATTATACAGAACTCTGAAAAAATAAGGAAGAGAGTTCCCTCTTTTCCTTCAAAATTCTACTTAATTCTGTGCACTATTTACAACCTAGACATTTATGTAGCTATGGTTTTTAATATCATACATTTAGAATAAATATGTGCATTAGTTATTTCAGTCAAATGTGATTATACAAAATGTTTTCATCCATATGAGGTTATTTAATAACTCTGTATTTTCCTAGATAAATATGGAGATGTTTTGTACCTCACTATCCTACCTCAAATATATCATAATTATATAGAAAAGTACACTAAAATATGTCCAGCCTGTTAAATGTGTCTTTTTCTCCCACCTTCCATTATTTTTTAATACTTATGAAAGTAATTTCATTTTCTTATACTGTATTTGTAAAAACTTACAAACTATTTTTGAAATATAATAAAGAGAGTCAGCATCTTTATTCAGTGCCTGATTTTAAACGACATGGTCTGATTGTTTTAACATTTAAGATAACTTTATTGCTTAGTAAAATTAACTTATTAAGGTTATTCATTCAAAAGTATGTAATGATGACATTTATGGGCCAGCTGAGGCTAAGCTATTTGAATTCATCTGTGAACAAGATATAGCTCGCTGCCCTTATGTAGCACACAATTTCATGGAGCAGAGACAGACTACATATTAGCACAGTATCTGGTAGATTACAAGGTGCAATTGAGCATGAAAAACGACAGGCAGAGCAGGTAAACAAGGAAAGAAAGGATGTGGAGAGCTATAATTTTAAATCAGCTGATAAAGGTAGGACTCATTGGAATGTTTTTGGAGCAAAGTGTAGAAGGAGGTAAAGATTTAGCCATGCAAATGTGTAGAAAAGGGCCATGCTAGACAGAGGGAACAGTCATATTAAAGAAGTATCATGAGTTTTCTTATATTCTTATTTTTCTTAACTTTTTTATTAGGAATTGCAGCTTAATTTGACAAAACGTCCTTTCAGAATTTCTAATGAAAAAGAAAAAAATCTACCTGTATCTATCTATCTATCTATCTATCTATCATCTATGTCACAATAATAGATAATGTATGTATATTTAACTTGTTGATGAAATTAATTATATTGGCAATAAATTCTTGATTTTTATCCAGATTTGCTCTGTTGAAATAAAGGCTCATAGAACAATTTAATTTGTCATTTGTTGGATTCTGTATGCTAATAGTGAATTTTGAATTATTTCATCCATATTCATATTAATGATAGTCTCTTATTTCTTCAAGCTATTTATGTAACCCTTTTATATTAATTTTTATTTATTTTAGTTTGATTTCATAATATGGATTGGAAAGATCACTAATTTTATGCTGGAATAATTTTTTCTTTAAGAATTAGATAAGACAAAGTAAAGTATTGCTTGATTCATTAAGGTAACCATTTTGAGATTAAAACAAATAGTGGGAAGCATTTCTGTTATTAGGTCTACTAACGAACAAAGCATTCTGCTTGTTGAGTTAAAGTTCAACTCATGTAGGATGTGACTTTTCACGGGCTTTTTTGCATAAAATCTTGTTTTAATGGGGCCTTCGAAAGTGATGGAGTTATTTTTAGTGTGAGCTTTAAACATTTTACTAAAATTCGATCCAGTATTTCAACATTCTTGCTTCACTAGAGCAAATGGCTCTTTCTCATACTGCAGCTCACCCATACTGGTCTAGTTCTGTGGCTGTGGTTCCTTTGCCAACGTAAATCTTGGAGGCTCTTTGCTGCTGCTCTGATCTGACTCACTTACCTTGTGTCCTTAGGGCTCCTATTGTTCCCTGCTAGTGCTATTTGAGGAGGTGAAAAGACCTTTCCCTAGTGCCCCTAGGTCAGCGGTTCTCAACCTGTGGGTCGCGACCCCTTTGGGGTCGAATGACCCTTTCACAGGGGTTGCCTAAGACCATCAGAAAACACATATATAATTACATATTGTTTTTGTGATTAATCACTATGCTTTAATTATGTTCAATTTGTAACAATGAAAATACATCCTGCATATCAGATATTTACATTACGATTCATAACAGTAGCAAAATTACAGCTATGAAGTAGCAACAAAAATAATCTTATGGTTGTGGGTCACCACAACATGAGGAACTGTATTAAAGGGTCGCAGCATTAGGAAGGTTGAGAACCACTGCTCTAGATGGACAAAAGAATGCTTTACCTTAGCCGTAAATGATTCCTCTATTGGGTAAAAACACTTAAAATATCCCTCCCCTGTCCTGTTTCTCCAGTCCTGGGGTCCCTACTCAATTCTTTTTTTTTAAGTCTACCTTTTAGAATTCTATTTTGGTTATCGTTTGCATTTTTCTCTCATGTTTATAGTTGCACTTAATAAGGAGAAGCATGTTTTTGGGACCAGAAATTAATGTAAATTATTTTGATAGCCAATTCTTTAATAACTTGAAGTTGAGCATTGTTTCTACATGTTTCATAACATGTTATGTTCCTATGTCTAGTAACTACTTTTTCACTAATTATTCTTTTTTATAACTTTATTTTTATTGTTTACATTATTATAGATGTCCCCATGTCCCCCCAACCTTTGCCCACCTCCACCCAGCTCTTGACCCCCCTTCCCTCTAGCCATCACCACAATGTTGTCTATGTCCATCAGTTATGCAATACATTCTTTGTTCACTAATTATTCTTATTTCTTTTTTTAGTTTACACAAGATTTTTAAAATTATAAATATATTTATATCTTTTCCAGGTATGTTTGCTTTAAGTAAATCCTCTGCTTCTTGTATTTCTTTTAATTTCCCTACACTTGTCCTGGAATAATTTTTAAGAAAGTGCCATTATTTTAACTGGTAGATTGATTTGGAAAATGTTGAGTTATTGATAATAATAGTGTTATTATTATTTTAAATATTCAGGGAAAGGAAAGTAAAATGTACAATGGTATAATGGGAAAATAATACCTATTTTTATTTTGCAAAGAGTTTGAGTGAATTGGAGCCATTTTATTGACATGAAATTAGCACCCTGGGCAACATCTACAGGGTCATTTATTTGTAGACCTCCAAATGTTGCATATATGCTCAATAAATATTTTTAACTTAATAAATATAATGGGTTGAGCACTACATTTTACTGTAAATTTCGTGATTGTTCATTTTTGTCTAATATAGACCATAAGCTCAAGATAATCTCAGTAAATATGAATGGCAATGATGATACTGTGAGTGAACAAGGGACCACAGAATGGTAGAAAGAAGATGAACATTGATGGCTGTGTTTCTGCAATGTTAGATCATTTATTCCCCTGTCTTTCATAAAATATTTCTGACCACCAGGGAATAGTGAAAGATGGAAAAGACAGCACATCATTTCCAGATTTTGCAACCATAAAACTTTTGTGAACACACTGGTAATATCATTGTAATCTTTTTTTTTTAATTGTAGGTTCAAGTTCTTAGGAATGCTGGAGAAGAAGTGACCCTAACAGTGTCTTTTTTAAAAAGAGCACCTGCTTTCCTCAAACTCCCACTGAATGAAGATTGTGCATGTAAGCATTTATGAAGACTAGGTATAATCATCACATTTACTTTATAAATATTATTTCCTGACATTAATTAGTAATAGTAATTTCTTTTCCGATGTGGATTTCTGCCAGAATACTTTGAATACTTATGCAAAAAGAGCAGGTGTTATTTTTATTTCAGAATGTATTCATTATATTTACAGTTATTTTCCAATATTTAATTGGAGAAGCATTGTTTAGTTAAAAAATAAGTATCATAGCAAATATATGCATTGTGTATCTCTAGTAAGTATTATTAATGATATTTGATGAATATAATTTTTCTAACTGGAGAATGATCGACATTTATTTAACTACTGGACTTGCTAAACAAGCATTGACACATGCTTTCTGGATGAAAATGTGGAAACGTATGAATTTTCATAAGAGTTACTTAAAAATGTTTATATCATTTGCATACTATGAAATGTTTATTTCTAATATTTTTGCTAAAACTGTCAAAGAAGAATACATTTTTAACTCAGGCATAATTTGCATGCAATGAAATGCAAAGACGTTAAATGAATAGTATGAACAGTTCTAGCAAATACACATTTGTTTATTCCACATCTTGTAAAATCACAGAATGGCTCCTCCGTGCCTCTTCCCAGTAAATAACATCGCCAGAAACAACCATTGATTTCACATTTATCGTCATATACTTGTTTCTTTTAAAACTCGGTAGAGTAGAATCATACTGTATTTACTCTTTTATGACTGGCTTCTTTCATTATGTGCAATCATTGTTTTATATTTCAGTAGTTTGTTCATTTATATTGCTGTGTAATATTAGATTCTATTATATGAATATAGTACAGTTTGATATTGCATTATTCTGTTTATAGACAACAGAGCTATTGCCAGTATTTTGCTATTGTAGATTGAACTGCTATGAACATTCTTGTGTAGGTGTGGGAAGTTTTACAGTTTTATGTTGCAATTATAAGTATATAGAAATGGAACAGCTGAGTTATGGAATAGTATAATTAACTTGTTAACAAACTATCAAACATATTTCTAAAATAAGCATATATTTGAAGACCTCTCACTTTCTACTCCAGCAGTGTATGAGAGTTCTGGAGGCTCTACATTATTCAAATATTTGATGGTCAAAGATTATTTTTATCCATTATATTGATGTGTAGTGGTATCTTATTATAGTTTTAATTTGCACTTCTCAGAAGACTAATGATGATTAGCTCCTTATCATGTTCCATTTGCATATCTTATTGTCCATTTGCATATCTTATTTTGTAATGTGTCTACTCAAGCCTTTTTGTCCATTTTTCTATTATTATGTCTTTCTATGATTGCACTGCAAGAGTTTGAAAAATATACCAGGTAATCTGTATATAAGCCTTTGTCAGCTATATATGTTACATTTTCACTCCATCTGTGCATAACTATATTTTTTATCTAAAGTTGTCTTAGGTTTGTAGTTTTAAATTTTGATAAAACCTAATTTACCATTCTTTTTCTTGGTCATTTTTGTTGTATATGCTTATTCCTGTCTATATATTCTGTGAAAAATAATGGTCAAACCTGAGACCACAAAGATATTTACCTACATTTTTCCTAGCAGCCTGATAGCATTGAATTTTATAGTCCATCTTATATTAATTACTTTTTTGTGTCTGAAATAGCAATCAAGAATCAAGGAACCACTTTCTTATTTTCACTAATTTAGGTCTATTCTTGCAATAAAATCACACTGATGATTACTGCAGCATTATACAGACATACTCATTTTATCGCACTTCACTTTATTGAGCCTTGAAGATATTGTATTTTTTACAAACTGACGGTTTATAGTCACCCTGTGTGGAACAAGTCTATCGGTGCCATTTCTCTAACAGCCCTTGCTCGCTTCCTGAGCTGAAATTCAAGTTACATTATATCCATTACATAAAAGTTACCTGCAATCATTGGTGCTGCAAATCGTGATGCATAGACCATTCAGGGAGAAGTTAATGCTAAGGGATTCGAGTACATGTTGAAAAGACGGCAGATTTCCTTTTTGGGACTTTTCTGTCCCTCCTCCACACCCCCCCCCCCCCCACTGTTTGGGGCCATCGTCCTGCAGCACCATTCTGCCTTGTTCCTGTACAGGACATAGGTGATGGGCAAGGCCAGTCTCAGGAACCTGTGGTCCATAGGGAAGGCCGCCACTTCCGCCGCCATCACTTCTTGCTGCTCTTAGGGCCGCAGGGCCTGGGGTGCCGCTGGGGTGGGGGCGGCCCCTGATGCTAGACTTGCTGCCCCACCAGTCTCCGGACTCCCTCAGTGGTCTCTGTCTTGCTTTGGTCCCCAGAGGAGTTGGTGGTGGAGATCCCGCCCCTGTCTCAATTATTTTTATTTTTTTATATCCCTTGAAATATTATATATATATTTTATTCTATTGATGTGGTGACCATAAAAATATTGATTTTGAATGCCAAATCAAGCTGATATTCCTAGGAGAAACACCACATGGTCATGAAGTATTGTTTATTATTATTATTACTGGTTTTAATTTGCTAATATATTGTTAAGTTTCTTCTTTTATAAGTTTTGATAAGGTTTTTTCCCAATGGTTTTTGTCTATTTAAACTAAGTTGCCAATTCACAGAATTTGATATTTCATTTTATTCCATTCAAAATGGATAAAAGTTTTAAAGTAATTTGTGTGTGCATTACAAATATTATCTCATAAGAGAGATACAGATAAACATCAACAGGAAAAGTAGCTAAAACAAAATATGAAATCTTTAAGATTTAAAGAGTGGAAAAACCATATTCAGGCTAGTATAGGAAAAAGTGTATGATTCCCTTCTGAGTGCCAAGACAACTTAAGAATTTTAGAGTAATAAAAGTATAGAACAAAATCATTACATTTTCACACATCAGTTAATATATTAGGAGTGTTACTTTTGACCCTGATGTTTAAATTTAAGTATAATATTGCAAATGAAAATTGGGAGTCAATTACATTAATAGCTCATGTTTGTCAACATTAGCCATTCCAAAAAGCATATTATCTTTAGAAAAGCTTAAATGAAACAGAAATCAAGAAATATGTTTCTAGTCCTAATTTTAAAAATTACCAAATTGTGAAATCTTGAAAAATGAAAAATATTTAAAACACCAATAGCTCATCTTTAAAAAATAAATATTGATAGGTCTCAGTTTTTTGTTGCAGTTTTGCAAAAGTAGATAGTGGCAATAAGGGTACTTCCAAGTATAGTATTTACTAAGAGATCTTGTAAAAACAGGACACAGAAAACCTTTTTTGCATCTAAAGGTAGGATTTGCCAGGAGGCTGAAACATGACATTATATAGAACTTTGATGACAAACAAAACCCTGCACTATTAAGTATAATAAATATAGTTCACTTTGGAGAGTGGGGGTGGGAGGTTGGGGGGCAATGGGGGGGTAAGGACACATATGTAATACCTTAATCAAGAAAGAAAAAAATAAAATTCTATACTACTTTTATAAGGTTGTTTATTTTCCTTAATAAAGCCTTCCCTTTTCTGAAATCAAAGATCAATATTTTCGGGTCTCTTTGTACCCCGATAACTTCAGTCAATGGGTTAACTTGGAAAACTCTGACTTTGATATAAGTGAAATAGAATTTTATTTTACTACCTGACTTGATTGATATAATTGAGCATAATAAAATATAACAGTGTAGCCCTGACCGGTTTGTCTCAGCGGGTAAAGCATCAGCCTGCGGACTGAAGGGTCCCAGGTTCGATTCCGGTCAAGGGCATGTACCCTGGTTGCGGGCACATCCCCAGTGGGGGTTGTGCAGGAGGCAGCTGATCGATGTTTCTCTCTCATCGATGTTTCTAGCTCTCTATTCCTCTCCCTTCCTCTCTGTAAAAAAAAATCAATAAGATATATTTAAAAAATAAAATAAAATATAACAGTGTAGCATGCATTCGTCTAGAGCAGTGGTCGGCAAACCACGGCTCGCCAGCCACATGCGGCTCTTTGGCCCCTGGAGTATGGCTCTTCCACTAAATACCACGTGCGGGCGCGCATGTACAGTGCAATTGAAACTTCGTGGCCCATGCGCAGAAGTCGGTTTTCGGCCTGGGCGAGTCTCTTTTGAAGAAGTGGCGTTAGAAGAAGTGGGGGTACGTTCGCTGAGGTCGACCCCTCAGATTGAGGACGTTTTTATCAAAGGCCAGCTTAGGAGTACCCTAAATATGTTAATAACAATGTACCTACCTATATAGTTTAAGTTTAAAAAATTTGTCTCTCAAAAGAAATTTCAATCGTTGTACTGTTGATATTTGGCTCTGTTGACTAATGAGTTTGCCGACCACCGGTCTAGAGCACTTTGGCATTCTGACCAGTGGGGTGTTGTGTTTTTGTTTCCTGTAGGTGCACCAAGCGACCAGAGTAGTGGCACCTCCTCTCCTCTGTGTGACAGTGGCTTACATCTCAACTATCATCCCAATAATACAGTAAGATGACTGAAGCATGGTTCATAGTAATAAGGAGGCTAACACCAAAAGCCCCCCCAAACATGTATATTTATAGTTTGCAGAACCTGATATTGAATCTGGTTTGAAATCCTTGGTGGCTTCATAATTTAAGTATTATCATAAGCCAGGAAGGAAAACATAACTAGGTCAGTTATTTTTCTCCTCTGAGGTCTGAAAGCTGGAGAGACTTTTAGCTGCAAGAGGTCATGCATAACATCTTATAATCATTTTATGACATTGCATATTATATGTAATTTCATGCTCTAAATGATTTGCCATGATTTTTATCATTTTTCTACTGAAATTACTTAGCTAAAAGGAGCTATTTTATTTGCCACTTTTTAGATTTTCTTAACCATCTTCATGCATATCAGGAAATTAATGTAAAATGAGAAAAATCTAACCCATACATCATGTTAGTCTATAATGAATGTTAAGCTATACATACATTTAATGATTGATAAAATCAGCATGTGAGTTTTTTATATATTTAATGAAATTTTTTTAAATTTTTCACTTATATTTTGGAATAAACAGGTTTTATTTGAATTTTATAATTTTTTAAACCTTTTAAAACATTCATGTATTCTAAATACAAAACAATCCTTTCTGGTTATATGTAAAACTAACAATTATCCTCTGTGCTTACAAACATGAAGTCTAACAGAGCTAACAGTAAGAGGCTTTTATTTTTTTACTAGAGGCCCAGTGCACGACATTCATGCACTGGGTGGGGGTGGGGGGGCGGTCCCTCAGCCCGGTCTGTGCCCTCTCAAAGTTTGGGAACACTCAGCGGACATCCCCCAAGGGGTCCTTAGCTCTGCCTTGGAGGTGTGAGAAGCTCCCACAACCTCCACTGCACTCACCAACTGTGAGCCCGGCTTCTGGCTGAGTGGCGCTCCCCCTGTGGGAGCGCACTGACCACGCGGGGGCAGCTCCTGCATTGACCATCTGCCCCCTGGTGGTCAGTGCGCGTCATAGTGAAAAGTCGTTCCACCATTCAGTTGATTTGCATATTAGCCTTTTATTATATAGGATTCCACATATTGGGCTAGAAGACGTATAGGTGCTTCTGCTGGAAAGGTAGGGAAACAATGCTCTAAGTCAGTGGTTGTCAACCTTCCTAATGCCGCCACCCTCATGTTGTGGTGACCCCCAATTTCATTGTTACAAATTGAACATAATTAAAGCATAGTGATTAATTACAAAAACAATATGTAATTATATATGTGTTTTCCGATGGTCTTAGGTGACCCCTGTGAAAGGGTCGTTTGACCCCCAAAGGGGTCGCGACCCACAGGTTGAGAACCGCTGATCTAATGCATCTAAAAAAGCTTTAGTTTTGTTTGTTTTTTTTGTAAGAGGAGTCTTGTGATAGCTTTATCTTTGGAAATAAGTACAATAAAATACAGATAATTTACATAATTTGCCCGTAGGTTAAAGGACTAGTCAGTTAGGAGATTGGGATTTTGAAACCAGGTGGTCTGATTCTGATTTGGAGCCTAAATCCTCTTCCCCCTGTTGTACTGCCACCCAAATGACCCCATGCTGACCATCTACCATATCGTACATGAAGACCAGGAGAAAGATTCATATGAAACCCATGTTTGTGTTTTTGCAGTCGCCAGATAAGCTTTAAGCGCATCTGTCTTGCATCAAAAGACAGGTGTCTTACACTGAAGTGTTCACTAACCGAAGGGGGCCTCTCACCGAGAGGTCTTAGCCACTTCACCCTTCTGAGTGTTCTCAACTCTTTCCAGGATGTAGTAGATTTGTCTGTACACAATTGCTGTCAATTAACATAATAATGCCAAGAATAATTCAACCTTTAATGATAATGGTGTGGTGGACATTTTTTTCAATTTCCTAAGCAATTTTAAATAAATTAATATTCAAAAGAAAAGGTGATTAAAATAGAACCTCTTTCTAACACTGTCATTCAGAAATTATAGAGAAATCAGTATCAACAGTCCCCTCATCAAATTAAGCCTTGGCCTCTTACAACCCATGACAGCTTCAATGTCAACATTACGCCATGTGCTACTGCCACAAAGAAAATTTAACAATGAAGCTCATATAATGATAGAAGCATAAATCAAGATTAAATGGAAAGCTCCATTATATTCAAATCATCTCCTCTATACATAAGAAAAAAAATCCAAACTTCTAATGAAACATAAAATACATGTGATTTTACATCAGCAGTATTTGATTAACATGACATTAAATACAAGAAAATACAAACATTTGATAAACATGAAGTTAAAATAATGGACAAGTATTTCTTTGAGTAGTTTTTAAAAGTTGTTTGATAAGAAAATTTATTATACTCAAAAATATTTGCCAGTAACTGATAAATCACAGGCACTTATAAGGGTTCTGTGCTTAGCAGATACTCAGAAAATACTGGCTAATTGAATTAAGTACAACTTATTTTTATTTGTCACTTATGAGTTCATTGCCATTTTAGTTTTGCCCTGTCTTTCCCGTTTGTGGATGAATTCAGTTTTGTCACACATTTATTTTTTCTTCCATCTCCATCCCCATTTTTGGCACGCTTTTCTACCATCCTTAATCTCAGTGATGTACTCCTGCATTTTCAGTTAGAATTCCATTCATAAAGAAGTTAAAAAATATAATTTCATTGTTAATGAATATGGACTTCTCCTTGTGGTAATCTGTAAATACCTTCTGATTATTTAGGGGAAAATATATCCCCCATAAGGATTTGTGAAATAGAAACTCAAAACACAGAAAGAAAGAAAAAAGACACTAGTGAATGTTGGAATTCTTTTCAGGACACATTATCATGTTCTTCATGGCCAACTTCTCCAGGCTTGAGATGGGAAAAGCGATGGTGTGACCTTAGACTGCTCCCTCTACTTCATTCTCGTTTCTCTCAGTATGTGCCCGGGACAGATTTGAGTCGGTGAGTTCATGTTACTAAGTTCCGATTTTTTCTTAATTCAAACAGGGACCTTTAGTCAAACTCTTAATATAGGATGCCTTCTGGTTCTTATTTTCATAGTAGAGGACCACAGATTCGTGTACCAGTGGAGTCCCTCGGCCTGGCCTGCAGATTGTGAGAGGGTGCAGGCCAGGCCGAGGGACCCCGCTGGTGCACGATCAGGACTGGGGAGGGACCGCAGGAGGGCTCTAGGGCATGTCCAGCCCATCTTGCCCAGTCCCAATCGGCCGGACCCCAGCAGCAAGCTAACCTACTGGTCGGAGCATTTGCCCCCTGGTGGTCATTGCACATCAGAGCGACTGGTCAAAGGGTTAAATGAACGGTGGGACACTTAGCATATTAGGCTGTTATTATATAGGATATTTCTGGTAGTATGAAGAAGAATTAGGAAAAAATAGTATAACACAGTAAAACATTTATTAATCTGATTAAAAAAAAACAGCACTTAAAACCCTGACTCTAATAATAGTTTTGTAATGGATTCAGTGTCTTTAATAGATATAGTTTAATGGAATTTTTATATTTCTTCTTGTGTTCTTTTTAATAAAATATTTCTCAAGGAAAGTGTATAATTTAGTTGATAGCAAAATTATTTTCATATAGTTTATAATAGTCTCATAGTTTTAGTTTCTTAAATAAGTGTAGGAACACTAGTGATGTCTTACTTATCATTCTTGAAATTTGTTTTTTCTCTTTTATCTTGGTTGTTTATCTAGGGGATTGTAAATTTTATTTATTTTTTTTCAAAGGACTAATTTGGGGCTTTGTTGAAGCTATTCTTTATGTGTACATATTGTAAATCATTAGTTTCGGCTTCTTTTTTTGTGTTGTTTCCATTCCTTCAATTCTTTGGCTTGCTTTTCTGTTCTTGCAGTTTCTTGAGATGGAAGTTCTAGGGGCCTAGAAAGTTTTCTGTAAAGAGTGGTATAGTAAATATTTTAGGCTTTGCAGGCCTTAATGTCTCTGTCACAACTATTCAATCCTGCCCTTTACAATAAAAACTGCCATACATAATATATAAATGAATGGGTATGGCTCTGTTCCAATAAAACTTTATTTATAAAAACAGACGACAGGCTAGATTTAGCCCATAGGCCACAGTTTTGCCAAACCCTCATTTGATCATTAATTTTTCAGATTATTTTCCTAATATATGTAATCAGAACTAGACATTTCCATCAAAGTTTGCTTCAGCTATACTCACAGTTTTAGGGTTACATCTTAGTTTATTTATAGTGTTTTTGAATATAACATTTCCCATAGTTTTCTGGGTAGTGTTCTACATTCGTTCTTCAGTATACATGCATATCTTCTGACACTACCGGTACTGACAATTTATCACTTTGAATGAAGTACAGAAACATTCATTCCATTTAGGCCCTTTTATCCTCCCTAAGTTGTAAGTAAAATTATCTTAGTTTCCTAATCATACATCAAGCTTTTAGCGATTGAATGAATTACACTCAATAAATAATACAGTAATAAGCAGTTGTAAACATAGCGCTATGCAGAGTGGCTAGCACAGCAATTCAGATTCAAGAATACATTTATTGTTCACTCCTTCACTCAATAAAAGTTTATTTCATGTCTGTGACTGGGAGATGTTGTGTTTGGTTCCGTCTCTAAAGAAGCTCACAGGCAGTGGAAATAGTAAGGATCCAAAAGAAAAGACAAATAATTGTTCTACAATGACAAATATAGAAGATTATTTAGCTCAAAAACTAGGAAACAATTTGTTGGTTGGTTTTGCCAAGGTCCATCATTTTAACTTCAATGAGCTAATACTTCTCATTTTTATCAGTGATGAGATGTTATGTATTTTCTATGGTAATTAATTCATACTGTATGTCTTAATATATGTTTAATTTCATATTATATTTCATAATTATTTTATATCACTTTTTAGACATAAGTAAAAGGTCTAACATATGTCTATTTTCAATTCCGAAATGTCAAAATATTGAAGAAAATTGCACTGTCAGGGAATTAGAAGGAGCAATAGAGGTTTGTGAACTTTGGCTGATCTTTTAACCTCTAAGCTTTATTTTTTGTGTGTGAAAAGTGAGCATAATGAATATAATAGTATATATATATATATATAATATATACATAATGTATATTTGAGGTTTGGAAAAAGTATTTATCTCTTCACTTTTAGTGCTTAGCATGCTTTATGGTTCAAAAGTGTTTGTATATTATATTATTTGTTTTTTTAATTTATCTTCTTGTTAAAAGTATTACATATGTCTCTTTCCCCCTCCCCCCTCACTGATCCCTTTAACCCCGCACTAACCCCGTCCATCCAAGACCTGCCGCACTGTTGTCTGTGTCCATGAACTGAATGAGAAATAGAATAAATTACTGAAATCACTAACCTGAGTGCTTCTTTTTATTTTTTATTCAACACCTTCCCAAATAACCAAATCAAGTAAATGGCATATTTTCAATATCTTTTGAGTAAATATTTCTTCCTACATACCCAGAACCACTCTCTAGAAACTGATTCTTATCATTGTTCATCTTGAGTAATTTACTATTATTATTATTTTTTGTTAATCCTCACCAGAGGATATTTTTCCCCCATTGATTTTTAGAGAGAGTGGAAGGGAGGGGAGAGACAGAGAGAAACATCGATGTGAGAGAGACACATTTGATTGGTTGCCTCTCTCATGCACCCTGTCCAGGGCCAGGGATTGAGCCTGCAACCAAGGTACCTGCCCTTGACTGGAATCAAACCCAGGACACTCAGTCCATTAGCCGATGCTCTAACCACTGAGAAAAACCGGCGAGGGCCATTTTGAGTAATTCAATATCCTTCTTATATCTCTCTTAACCTTATTAAGTTTTCCACCTTTTTTAACCACCACAGAGATATCGTTCTAAAATACAAATGAGATCCTTTCATACATTCCAATGCTTCAGCTTTCAAGATTATATAGAAATGTTGCAGCATGGCTTGCAAAGACCTTTTTTTAAATTAGTACTGAGTTTTTGAGAGAGAGAGAGAGAGAGAGAGAGAGAGAGAGAGAGAGAGAGACATCAATTGATCAAATGGTTGTCTTCTGCATGTGTCCTGATTGGAGATCAAACCCACAACCTAAGTATGTGTCCTGACCAGAACCTGCCACCTTTTGGTCTATATTATTCTCAGTTTCCTTTAGGGAAAATTGGGGCCCTGTTGACCAATTAATCAATACTCTAATTCATTCAATAGTAGAGGCAAAATCATGCCCCAAAACAGTAATCTTTTTAATCAATCTATTTTACTCAACACCTTCCCAAATAACCAAATCAAGTAAGAGATCGTATGTAAACAAGGAAGCTCTTCAAATACTTCACTTCTATTTATGATAGGGTTTCCATCAAGCCAACCTGAAAAGTAGAGACAGATGTCAAAAGTGATATATGTTAATATACAGCCTTGGATTTATGAAAGGTTAAGTCCTTCAGAATTTTATCTAGGACTTATGTCACATATATGATTACATAAATTGCAGATTTGATCTAAGTGTATTAACTCCAGTCAGCTAAAAATATCAAACTGCCGTGATTCATTTAAAACAGAATGAACAAATATGCCCAATACACACTTTAATTCATGGTACATGAAGCAATAGTTACGGTAATCAGAAAGTGGAAGGAAAGAAATGTATATTGCTAAAGTCAAATTAGTTCTCATTTTCCTAGGATGGCTGAGCTTCTGTGTAGATATTTTAGTCTTACTCGCTGTTGAATCTAAAATTAAACCTAAGAAAATCATGGAACATTACATTCTTTTTGTGCCATGCATATTTTTGTCACAAATTTAGAAGAAGATTACACAAACAATAGTTGTACTTTTTAAAGGGTTTTCATGTAGTTTTAAGGTAAACCAAACATGTATATTTAAATACTTCTTTATTATCAGTTGAAAGTGCTTGGTCAAGAATATCAGAGCAAATTTCTCTAAAAATGTTAATAATTTAGATGCAGAGCGTTTTAGAGGCAAAAGGCTTTTGCCAAGTGCACAGTTCTGAGTAGGATTTCAAAGCAGTGTGTCCATTTTCTAAAGTTTGTTGTGTTGTACAAAAGAATAATTCTCAAGCATGAGACATTAGAGTGCCTTCAGTTTATTTTGGGATTTTTGTCTATTTCTGTTCATCAAGCTTATATCTAAACATAGTAACTTGATACAGAAAAAATAAATATTAGAGTTGCACAGAGTTGCTTTAAATTCTATAGCACTTGGCAAACAATTTACAATGGCATTGTTTAATTTTCTCCCACAACAACAACAATAAAATCAACAAAAGTTTATAGACATATTTACGTAGACTGGTTATTACATTTTGAGGAAAAGTTTAATTGTTATTGAAATCCACAACATTCACATAATTTAGAGTATGAGCATTTAGACCAGAAGAGGAGCTACAAGAACCTCTTTTCCACACCAAATTTGAAAAGACAAGAAAACTAGGACTGAAAGTGGTTTAACAATTAACAAAAATGCTGCAGCTTATAATATCAAGTGATTTTTTTACATGATGTTTAATATTGGAGTTTTTTATGTGATCTTTCAATTATAAATAAGATGCATTGAAAATGTTAAGAGGAGCCCGGGCCAGTTTTCTCAATGGTTAGAGCACCAGCCCTTGGACCGAAAGCTCATGGGTTCGCTTCCAGTTCAAGGGCACATACCTTGGTTGCAGGATCAATCCCCCACCTGGTTTGGGCTCTACGGGAGGCAACCAGTGTATCGCACATCAATGTTTCAAATAATAAACTTCTATGTATCATTTTCTGGCAAACTGGGAAAGAGTCCTAAAATATCGTAGATGTACTTCTATTTACATAATATATATTTAATAACTCAAAAATGTCTTCAAATGTATCTGAATCTCAAGATGCTTTCTGAGAATTCAAAATTACATGTTATCTTAGTTTATCTTTAGTCTTCTATTTAAAAACAGATATTAAGAGTAGCAAACAAGTCTGGACTTGAAGCTGTATTTATATAGTTTGAGGGAAGAATTTTTCAACAGATTTGATGTCAAGCTGCAAATAGATACATGAGATGACATTTTGATCTGATCTGTGCTGACATATCTGCAGGCAGAATGCTTTTCAAGTCATTGCTGTGGACGGGGTCTGCAGTGGGATCATTCAGTGCCTCTCTGCTGACGACTGCATCGACTGGCTGCAAGCAATAGCAACTAATATTTCAAACCTCACAAAGCACAATGTAAGTAGTGATTCAAGTATTACCTGGCCGTACAGTTTCTCACTTTGGTAAATTTCTTTTAAAAATACACACACACATGCACACACACACACACACACGTATATATAACTTTATACCAACTAGTTGATGTTCAACTAAGAAAATCCATCATGAAAGCTTTCTGGAATACTGACCAGAAAGTAGCCAAATGTATCAGTTCAAGAATACTTTCACACATAGGTTTCCATCCAGAAACGTGCTAAACATCTGCATTAGTTAAATAATTGAAAATATAGATTTAGCATGTAGTCACTTTATATATAAAATATATATAGATAGATATGTGCGTGCATGTGTGTGTTTGTGTGTGTGTATACAGAAGTATTCTGGAATGAAACAATACTAAATTTCAAGTATTGTTGATTTTCCTTTAGTGACCTTAGAATCACAGGTAGAAATTTTTGAAGTGGTGGGAGGAGGGATGAAAAGAGTTGGCATATAGACTGAAGATCTTACCTAAGACTACACTGGCACTGGAGCAGTCAGAGATGTTCTTGAGGGAAATGGTAATTCGCACATTAGAGCCATACCCATATTATCAGGAATGACTTCTCTACTTTTTCTCTGTCTTTCTACTTCAAACTTTTTTTTTCTTTTCCCATTCCTGTCTCTTTATTATTACTACCTTATGATTATCGCTGTTGGTTAATAAACTTGTCAATCCTTTCTTCCCCTTACTTTTTGGGGATGTATAGTTTAACAAAATATCTGAGACTGTAAACCTCACTTCATTGAGTATTGGTGTATAGCATTTAACTTATTTTATCTTAATTACTCTTCTAAAATATATATTATATATTATCCATGTCTTAAACACTCTCCTCTTTCCACAACTCTTCTATGTCATGCTGGAGCATTTAAGAAATCTTAAGAAAAATTCGTAAGTCAAGCAGAAGTATGTAACTTTTTTTTTTACCAACTCATGAACATCCAGAACTCTTTTCACGTAAATGACTCTCCAGATCCAAATTTATTTGCGCAGATTTTGCTTTGAAATCTGAAAAGGATTGTGGCAAATATTTCTTAAAAATAGGAAGACTGTCAGCCATTAAAGACAATGATGGGTGTCATAGATGATCATGCATACATCTCCTGCGTGGATGCCTAGGGATTATCTGGGAATGAAATCAATAGTCATGGGGTATGTACATACTCAGAATTTTCTGGTAATGCCAAAGTTTTCCAAGATACTGTGAAATTTAAGGTTGACAGGTCTTTTTTCACAGGTCATATCAATACTTGGTATTATGCTAACTTTTTTAAATGTTTGGTTATTTGGTATGTTTAACCTGTGTCTCATAATAAAGTCAGGTGATTTTTTTCACGATGCCTTACTTGGGATATCTCTAAACAATGAGCCCTGGCTTGGGCATGTCTGTCTTGGGCAAGAATGGCCCTGCAACACTCAGTCTTTGTGAATGTGGTGGTTTCATCATATTGGAATTACACATGATAACAAGAGGTATCAGAGTGACAGAAAGAAAAAGGAGAAGATCTCTGAGGATTACGCCTCTTATTCTCAACCCTTATTCCTTTATAGGGATGTTCTAGGGTTAAAGAAAAGACAGATACACCTCGTGAGAGTATGAACTCTGTATTTTATTGCATGCTATAATTAATTCTCCAAATGAGCCAAGATCTTATATTTATTAGAAAAAAATTTAAGAAGAATAGAATGTTAAACTTTTTCTCTTGACCTAGATCCAAATTTCCATTGACCACCCCAAACCTAGGAGTACTCATAAAAACTGTTTCATGGGAATGTATGTTCGATTAGAATGCTATAAACTAGAAAACAGGAATTTGAAAAGTCAGTACTTTATTTTAAACAGAAAGTGAAGATGTAAGTGTCTCTCTCTTCTGGAAGCACAAAGAAGGAAAAGCCACATTTTACTGCCTGTTTTTCAGCCTTGTGATCAGTGCTCAGCTTGAAACTTAGGAAAGCAGACAATTCTCCTCTCTTTACTGTTTTAGCTGCTGAGAGAGCCACATGTCTCTTATGATAATGTGGCTCTTTTCTACGTTACTTACTTGTTCTTTAACCTCCCTGTGATTATACTCTGATTGTATGTGCTTTTGATCTCGTAATCAGTTCTCATTCAAAATAATTATAAAATAAGTTAAAAATAAAATCATGAGCTTGCAATGATGTACTTGAAATGTCCTTACATATACGTAAGTGATGATTAGAATAAAAAGTGGAATATTAAAATCGTAGCTTTATAGGATTTTAAAATAATGAATCATGTTTTCATGTGTGGCCCGATTAAAGAATAGACTGAGGAGGAAGTTAAAAGTTATTTCTTTAAAAAAAAAAAAGGAAAATAAAAAAAGAAACAATAAACAAACCAGTACTAGAATAAGTGGAGCAATACACTACTTTTTAAAAAATATATATTTTTATTGATCTCAGAGAGGGAGGGAGGGAGAGAGAGAGAGAGAGAGAGAGAGAGAGAGAGAGATGGAAACATCAATGATGAGAGAGAATCATTGATTGGCTGCCTCCTACACGCCCCACACTGGGGACTGAGCCCGCAACCCAGGCATGCGCCCCCGACCAGAATCGAACCCTGGACCCCTCAGTCCGCAGGCCAACGCTCCATCCACTGAGCCACACCAGGTAGGGCACACTACCTATTTTTCATTGTCTTTGTTCACCAATCCCAGCAGTGATAATCCTGTGAAATAGGGAGATTTTCATACCTGTTTTACGTGAAAATTTCATGTAATTGTAGTTGCTATTTAAAAACATTTTTTCAGATGTCAGTGGATGGTTAAAATACTCAGACAAACACATTTTAATTTTACTTTACCATTATTCAAGTGGCTCCAAAGTAGTTACAGTGCGCTTAGTAAATGGTAAATGTTAGAAAAGGCTGTTTTCAGGACTTGTCTTCACGCGGTAAAGGGATGTGCCAGCAGCTCTGGCTGCCACCGATGATTCCTGTGGATGGACTGTTGTCTGGTCATAGTTCCTTATGTCCCTTATGCATCTCTACCTGCCATAATGAGGTGTCTGATAAACAAGTGTGGTTTTGAAATAAGGCTTCTTCATCTAAATCACTGAGTGACTTTCTAGTAGGCATCAGGTGGACAATACAGTGCCCCAGAGGGCCAGGAGTAAATACACTGGAAGGCATATGTCAGATTGCAAATCAAGGCAAATACACTGGGACACGTGCATATTGCAGGGCAACCATGACTCTCTTAAGAACATTTTTACGTGTTTACTCTTAAGAAGGGGCCATGGAAATCATCTTGCCCCACCTCCCACCCAATTAAGAAATATTGGCCTGGTATGACTCACTTGCTTGAGCATCGCTCCACCCACTGAAAGGCCGCCGGTTTGATTCCTGGTCGGGCCATATGCCTAGGTTGCTGTCTTTATCCCCGGTTGGGATGTTGGGTGTGTGCAGGAGGCAGCCAATCAATGTGTCTCTCACATCGGTGTTTCTCTCTCTCTCTCTCTCCCTCTGCCTTCCTCTCTCTCTAAAATCAATAGAAACATATTTTTAAAAAACCCCAACATATTCTCTAAAAGAGAGAAATATCTCCTGCGAGGTTTCCTGCTGGAAGGTTCTCAATGTCAAGAAAACCACTGCTTCATTTTGCAGCAACTGAACATTTGACAGTATTAGGAATTCTGCTTCTAATGAACAAAACTCTCTTATATCTCTCATTCATTTGTGCCAGTTCTTTCTTGGGAAAAACAAATCATAATTTATTTCCTTCTTTACTTGGCAATTCCTCAAATATATAAAGGCAAGTATCATATGTCACCATTCTTTTTTTTTATAGTAATAGCACTGGTTTTTTCCTCTGGTCCTTATTGGGATGTCATCCCAGTCTTTCTCATCCTGATCACTCACTATCTCTAGATGTTGAAGCTCTTTAGAAAAGTAGAGTATTAGTTATACCTGTAAGCTTTTGTTACTGACATTACCACAATCTCGAGTATCTTAAAGATTCATGCATGAATTTACTGATTGTATACTATCTATCTATATATGGAAAACACTCATTGATGTTGTATTTATTATGATGATTAATCAAAGTTTATGATTTCTCATTAATATTATATACTATTAGCAGTAGCAAAACATTCAAAGTTTAAATGTGTATTTTCATCTAAATACACTTACGAGTTAGAAATCCTAGTTCTTGTATTGATTGCACCAATTACAAAATACTTAATGTGAGGCAAGCAACGCATACTAAAGCCAGTTGGGCAAAAGTTTAAAAGGTTCTTAAATTTTCCAAGATTGAGATTCTTACTAGGTAATCAGAAGATTCAAATAATATGTTTCTGCATTAAAATACCATAGTTTATAACCCCCACTTTTGAGGAGTATGCCCTACAATGGAAATGCAAATAAAATATTGAGGATATTAGGAACTTAATAAAAATTATGAGGGTACTAAAGATATGTTTTCTTTTTAAATATTGTTTCTTAATGTATATAGTGACTTTCTTTCAGAGTGTAGAGTAAAAATAGGAAAGAGGTATAACATTATTATGAAGACACCTAAAAAAACATAACTCCAACCAAATGATCAAAGGTGAACTCAAAATTTAGTCATGTTGACAGTATCTTAATATGATATAGTAAAAATATTACTTTACCCCTGTAGGCTTCCTCCTACATTTCATAACCTTTGTTGTGCTATGAGAAAAGCATCAAAAAAAATTCCAATTGATGAAGATACTACAAAATACCTGACCAATAAGTCTCAAAATTGATGTCATGAAAAACAAGGAAAGTCAGAAATTTTCAAAACCAAGAGTAGCCTAAGAAGACATGGTGACTAAATGAAACATGGTATCCTGGATGAGATTCTGGAACTGAAAAGGATATTATTTAAAAACGAAAGAAATCTTAATAAAGCATGGATTTAGTTAATAAAAATGCAGTGCTTTGCTATTGGTTCATTCATTTTAACAAATCTTCCATGGTAATTAA